CATCAGATCAGTTGCATCAAGCTGCAGCTCATTGGCACCAATCAAGCAGCAGATATCTACCCGGGCTGGACACCTCTCCAGCGCCAGTTCGTTCCTACACTTCCAGTGATCTCGTCTGTTCCTGCTGCCTGCTTGCCTGCCTGCCTGCCTACCATTCCCACGCCGCTACCTGATCCTCTGTTGCCTGATATCCTCGTTATCCAGCTCTCAGGACTACTGACTCTCCACCCCACTCAGCTCCTACCCCAGCCTGAAGCTATTCCACCCTGACTACTTCTCTCTGCCAATACACGTTGAATAAACTACATCCTAATTTTACTCTCTTTGTCCGTGTGTCCGTCTCTGCACCTGAGTCCCCCACCCAACCTAACATTACCTATGTTGAGAGCATCTTGGGTGCCTCTGTAGCGTGTGGAGAGGTCACTGGCCATCACCCTCTTAATCTCTGCAACCAGGGTTGAGTCGTCTTCGCATGGCTGTAGGTGTTTCAGCAGTTTTGCTTGAAGAGGAGCAATTACAGAGAGAGTTGGCTGGTCTTCTTCACACATCACAGTGGTTGCCATTTTGACAGGACCCATCAACTGAACAATGTCATCCATGTTGGCAATATCACTCTCACTCAGCGTGCCTACATCTGTGACCCCCTTTCGTAGATCCTTGGACATCAGAGTTGCCATTATAGCTGGCTGTTGTTCCAAAAAACGTTCAAGCATTTCGAATGAACTGTTCCATCTGGTGATTATGTCTTGGATCAGTTTATGTTTTGGTAAATCCATCAGAGTTTGTTTTTCCTGTAGGGCATGACATGCAATCGGGCTGCAGTGAAAATATCCAACAATTTTTCGCACTTTCCCCAATAACCTGGAAGCACGGTCCACCCCCAAACCCTTCTGCGAGGCAAGGTTGAGTGTATGTGCGAAGCAGGTAATGTGTGGACTGAACTGGGCTTCTGCACCGGCCACAATCATATTCCTGGCGTTATCTGTGACGATAGCAGGATTCTTGTCGTAGATTTTCCACTCCATGCAGGCTTCACGCAGTAACGCGCCAATATTTTTACCAGTATGGGCTTCATTTAAAACTCTGGTTAGCAGAACAAAGGTCTTCATTTTCCACTCCGGATCAATGTGATGAGAGGTAATTGTCACATACCCTTGATTTGAGCATGACGTCCAGCCATCTGTAGTTATCGCTACTCGTTCAGCTTGAGAAAGCGACAGCTTCACATCATTCTTAGTACTTTCGTACAATGCAGGAATAACCTTTTCTGAGAAGTGTGGTCGGCTTGGTATTGTGTACCTTGGCTCCAATGTTTGAATCATTTCACGGAATCCCGGATTTTCAACCACACTGTAGGGTCGCATGTCTTTGCAGATAAACTTGGCAATTGTTGCCGGGATGTTTTTCGCCCGAGCTGAGTTTTGGCCTAGTCTCTGACTAAACATGCAGGCGAGACCTGAGGCTTCTGCAGAGTTGACTTTACCTTTCGCTGCTGTAGCAGCGGGAACGCTGCAAGAGGTGCCTGGACGGTCGGTGTTGTGTGAAATCCCATGGCGCCTTAGTAGGTGGTTGGAGAGATTTGTCGTGGTTGCCGTTGTACTTACTTGACCTTTACATATCCTACAAACCAGCGAGCGACTTATTTAGAACATCTCCGTCTTTGCAAAAGCCAAAGTGTTTCACACACTGGACCGCAATGTTGGCTTGATAATTTCTCGCTCGTCGGCTTCTCCTCTGTAGTCCGCCATGGCTATGTTTGGTTGTCTTGCGCCTTTGCGCTGATGTTGGCGCGATGACGTCACGGATAGGCAGACTGAATCGAGTAATGTTTAAAGCCTTTATCATTAACAGTGCGATTTATTACATTTTAAAACGATGTTAGATCGATATATGTTGTCCACATATATCTTGTCTCCTGAGTGGCGCAGTGGTCTAAGGCACTGCATCGCAGTGCTAACTGTGCTACTAGAGATCCTGGTTCGAATCCAGGCTCTGTCGCAGCCGGCCCGACGGGAGACTCATGGGCGTCGCACAATTGCCCAGCGTCGTCCAGGTAGGGGAGGGAATGGCCGGCAGGGATGTAGAGCAGTTGATAGAGCATGGCGTTTGCAACGCCAGGGTTGCGGGTTCGATTCCAATGGGGGGCCAGTATATAAAAAAATAAATATGTATTCACTAACTGTAAGTCGCTCTGGATAAGAGCGTCTGCTAAATGACGTAAATGTAATGTAAATGTCCAAAAGGCCAACTCGCCGAGCACAGATCGATGTAGTTGGATCATAGGAATATAAATCGATACATCGATGTAGTAGATGGATCGTTACACCCCTAATATTTTGTATTAGATTACCTCCGACATAGGGCCAAAATTGGCAGGTGAAGTAAGTTGAAATTAAGTTTGTTCAACATTCTGACTTTTTAGGGGACTGTTCGGGAATGCTAAGCCTGCATGTTAGAGACGAGTGTGTAAGTATTTCATTTTAGTCATTTAGCAGACACTCTTTCCCAGAGCGACTTACAGTAGTGAGTGCATACATTTGTCATACTTCTTCGTACTGGTCCCCCGTAGGAATTGAACCCACAACCCTGTTTTTGCAAGCCATGCTCTACCAACTGAGCCACATAGGACTCCACATTGTCAAATGCTAATTAAATTTGATTATTTGAATTAAAGCGATTTCTAAACAAATTGGTTGTCATTTGTTTTGGGGGGGATGAGTGCAATAAAAATCTTGAATGAGATTGAATTGGGTAAGCACAGAGCTTTTGTTGCTGCTACAATGTACTATATGTCCTTTCTTAAATTAAATAACATTTGCACAATTATTCAGAACTGTATGCATAATTTCTTCACCGAGGTCTTTCACATAGCGGTACTCAGTGTGCTATGTGGTCCTCACACCTGCTGACCGACCATATAATAATCATAATCAGATTTCACGTCTCTTTAACATGATGTGCACCGCCAGGCCTTCAGCTGCCTCTTATTAGATTTTCTCATTTGGAATCTAATTTCATGTCGAGAGAGCTCCCTCTCATCAACCTTATTGAGTTGACTTAACTTATAAAACCTGTGGTCATGTGAGCACAATTCACCCAGGAGACAGAGACGGGCCCTGTCATTGAGTTTGGGAATGTGGTAACACTGACAACGGGGACGGACTGGGATCAGAAATCGGCCCAGGCTTTTCTATAACACCGGCCCATTATTTTCCTCGAGGCTTCCACACCGGCCCTATTTTTTCTTGAGGCTCCCATTATTAGCCAATTAATTTTAATTCTGTGCAAAACCCTCTATTTAGACAGATCTACAGAGCAAAAGATGGACCAGCTCATCTGGCATTTGCCCGAACTGCCCTATGGCCAGTCTGTCTCTGACTGACATGGACATGTGGTAACACTGACATCTGTATTGGGTTTATAACCAGAGTAGACCATGAATGATAATGTTTACCTATGAAAACATGTTTTTAAATACGTTTTATCTTTACATTCACTTTTGCATTTGCCATTTACTGTTTTCATTGGGGGTTTTGGTCCAGTAAATGTTTACACTAGGCAATGTAAGAAAGTGCAACTCTTTCTACACAATTCTTATTCAGTCTTATTCAGAAAACAAAACTTTTTTACATTACTTTCCTGCCTTTCATATACTGTATTAACCTGCCAGTTGCCTCATTTTTTCCCAGGTCACATGCATCCGACCTGCAGTACGTATACTTACTTCAAAGGAAACAATTAATTCAATAATGACGATATTCTACTAAAGATTATTCTTATGTGCTAAGTGAGGAGAGGATCTGACAAGGCATGTTATGTCAAACATGAAATTGGGAATTTATACTTCTCAGAGACAGTGCACCACGCCCATGTTAGGGTGTAGGAGGGCTGCTTGAAGAGCTATCATATTTCATTCCCAACTCTAGAAGATAGCGCTTGATGGGGGAGCAAAGCAGTGCTAGCGGAAGTCCTGCGTGTTGACATCACCACCTTTGGAATGCACAAATCTCACCTCGCGCTGAAGGAATAACCTGGACGTAACTTGCGACCCCAGGTAGGCTGATCGTCTCTGTAACATGTTACATTGTTGCTACGTTATTGTTACATTGTAGGCCTACATCTAGTTTATATTAGCCTACATGATATAGTAGGTGAGTCACAGAGCATGCTTCGCGGTCGCACCTGGTTTGCTCTCTCTCACTCGCATGCGGCAGGTAGACAGGTAGGTAGACAGACTGAAACAAAGATGTAGCCCAGCCCCAACATCGCTTATCCGTTCTATATTGAGAGGAGCGTGAACCTCGGTAGGTATTTCAATGGCGGAGGTGGAATGATAAATCTCTCCAACGTTGTATGGCCGTGATGTTTTGCCTTGTAGTTTCTCCCGCCCTAGGCTTATAGGAAGCGACCCCATCCACCTGCGAGTTCTACTGAAATAGGCAAGTATGTATGGAATGAATTAACAAAGACAAGCTGTTACCTGGGCAAATAATTATATTGGGGCTGTGGTTAACATGCCTGCTGCAGAACCAGAGAGACCCGGGTTCGAGTCCCGGTCAGGCTACCTTCACCAGTTTACAACACTACTGTCAGAAGTGGGGGCATGATGCTGCCAGAGGTGCGGGTAGATATGTGAAACGGCATTAAACAAAGTTGCAGCACGGGGACATGCTTCCCAAAGGAGGGTCAGCATGTTTGACTTGGAACCAGAGAGCTGGATATGGGGCTCAGGGCCTGGCAATAGTCACTGTTTTGTGAGAGGCCAAGCAATAAGCACTGGCAGTACAACACCTTATTTCCAGTATAGACCATTATTTTACTCTTTCTGGGATGCACAGGAGAACAGTTTTCATTGCATAACCATAAGCCTACTCTGCTCTGTCCAGTCTGTGACAGACAAGAAGTATGGAAGAAATATGACAGAACCATCGATTGAGTTGCCCTCTTCCCTGGTGTGATGAAACAAAGTTTTACAACAATCAGGCAAGCAGCTACATGTCATGGCCTTCACGGCCCTCTGGCTGGAAAGGGTGAGTGTACTGAACACATAGAGAAAAAATAGTTGTCATATGTAAGCTAGACCTTTGTCTTCGGCAGAAGAGGGTAAAATAATATTACTTAATATTTTGAAATCTAAAGTTGTCAAAAATAGTTGATGAACACAGTTGTTCATGTGGACTGGTGCCCATTGCATGCCTAAACATGCACCCAACAGTTTCCTGACACACACACACACACACACACACACAACTGTCCTCTCAGTTTAGTGTCTCTTCATGTTATCAGCCTCACATCACTGCATGCTTTGATGCTGGTGATCCAGCTCTGATGCCCCTCCCTGTCTCCTACCTCAGTCAGACACCTGCAGTATTATGGGTCTTAGAGTGGTGTCTGTCTGTGTAATTAGACCATTCAAATTAGAGGGCTGTCCAAATGGCGGGCAATCAGTATTTAAGCATCTGTACTGGCCTGGGTGTCAGAGTGGGACTCTGCGTTTTCAATGTTCCCATGGGAAAAGTGAGGCACACTTGGGGCTGTGACCGTCATGGATTTTTGGATGATGGTAATTGGCCAGCCAAATGACTGCGGTCACCGTAATAACCGTTTGAATAGCCATATATATATATATATATATATATATATATACACATACAGTGGGGAGAACAAGTATTTGATACACTGCCGATTTTGCAGGTTTTCCTATTTACAAAGCATGTAGAGGTCTGTAATTTTTATCATAGGTACACTTCAACTGTGAGAGACGGAATCTAAAAAAAATCCAGAAAATCACATTGTATGATTTTTAAGTAATTCATTTGCATTTTATTGCATGACATAAGTATTTGATACATCAGAAAAGCAGAACTTAATATTTGGTACAGAAACCTTTGTTTGCAATTACAGAGATCATACGTTTCCTGTAGGTCTTGACCAGGTTTGCACACACTGCAGCAGGGATTTTGGCCCATTCCTCCATACAGACCTTCTCCAGATCCTTCAGGTTTCGGGGCTGTCGCTGGGCAATACGGAATTCACTCAAGATTTTTTTGGTTCAGTCGGGACTCCACTCCAGGATGAGATGCTTTTTGAGCCACTCCTTATTGGGTTCGTTTCGGGCATGTAGTACAGGTCATGCCTCTCCGTGTAACACGGCGCTTGTAAATGTAACGCCAAGTAGTGGGTTCGATCCCCGGGACCACCCATACACAAAAAAAAAAAAAAAAAAAAAAAAACTGTATGACACGACATGACTGTAAGTCTGCTTTGGATAAAAAGCGTCATGCTAAATGGCATATATTTTATATATATCTGCTGGAAGACCCAGCCACGACCCCATCTTCAATGCTCTTACTGAGGGAAGGAGGTTTGTGGCCAAGATCTCGCGATACATGGCCCCATCCATCCTCCCCTCAATACGGTGCAGTCGTCCTGTCCCCTTTGCAGAAAAGCATCCCCACAGAATGATGTTTCCACCTCCATGCTTCACGGTTGGGATGGTGTTCTTGGGGTTGTACTCATCCTTCTTCTTCCTCCAAACACAGCGAGTGGAGTTTAGACCAAAAAGCTATATTTTTGTCTCATCAGACCACATGACCTTCTCCCATTCCTCCTCTGGATCATCCAGATGGTCATTGGCAAACTTCAGACGGGCCTGGACATGCGCTGGCTTGAGCAGGGCGACCTTGCGTGCGCTGCAGGATTTTAATCCATGACGGCGTAGTGTGTTACTAATGGTTTTCTTTGAGACTGTGGTCCCAGCTCTCTTCAGGTCATTGACCAGGTCCTGCCGTGTAGTTCTGGGCTGATCCCTCACCTTCCTCATGATCATTGATGCCCAACGAGGTGAGATCTTGCATGGAGCCCCAGACCGAGGGTGATTGACCGTCATCTTGAACTTCATCCATTTTCTAATAATTGCGCCAACAGTTGTTGCCTTCTCACCAAGCTGCTTGCCTATTGTCCTGTAGCCCATCCCAGCCTTGTGCAGGTCTACAATTTTATCCCTGATGTCCTTACACAGCTCTCTGGTCTTGGCCATTGTGGAGAGGTTGGAGTCTGTTTGATTGAGTGTGTGGACAGGTGTCTTTTATACAGGTAACGAGTTCAAACAGGTGCAGTTAATACAGGTAATGAGTGGAGAACAGGAGGGCTTCTTAAAGAAAAACTAACAGGTCTGTGAGAGCCGGAATTCTTACTGGTTGGTAGGTGATCAAATACTTATGTCATGCAATAAAATGCAAATTAATTACTTAAAAATCATACAATGTGATTTTCTGGATTACGTCTCTCACAGTTGAAGTGTACCTAAGAAAAAAATGACAGACCTCTACATGCTTTGTAAGTAGGAAAACCTGCAAAATCGGCAGTGTATCAAATACTTGTTCTCCCCACTGTATTTATTTTTGTTAAGCACATTTTCTCCTCTCCTCCGCTCCGGTCTGTATTTGCTGCCATAGAAATAGAATGAACAGAACCGGCATCCCCATTCAAGTCAATGATGACATAATGGATGGAATAATGGATGGACTGGCAGCCATTGCGATTGTACCAATAGGAGCAAAGCAGCAAGTAAAGTATCTGCTCAAATATGTGCTGTGATTCGTTGATTCAACTCAACTGACATTCCATTGCATGAGCCACATCAGTAACATGATTTGAATGCAAATTTGCAATAATTTCCATGGTAATGTTCATCACAATACCAGGCAGCCATAGATGCGGTAAAGGAGTCAATGGAAATCAGACGTTCCATTGACCAAATTGGCGCACATCCAACAAATCTGATATAACAAACAGTGTCATGGATGCCAAGGGAAGCCAGGCTTCCCCAAACATTTGACAAATAAAAAAAGACAAATTATAAAATAATTAATATTTTGTCTCTGTGTTTTCATAATTTTCAGTCAATTCGCAAGTGGCTGAATCTCACTGGAGAAGTCATCCGAACGAGGGGAAAAAGCACCCCTCTGTCTCAGTATGTGTATTTGACGCTGTCTGGAACAAAAGATTATGACATGTTGCTGCCCTAGAATTTGATTGATTGATGCCAGCAAGCATTATGCCTCACTGATCATTTTTTAAATAAAATAATTAGCCAATCAGTGTTGAGCTGAGCTCAACTGTGGGTTGTCCTGGCGCAGCAAAACTCCCCCCAAGGGAGGCCAGTTTGGATTTGGCTTCACACCAATCAAATCTCATTCTAAGCAAAACGTCATAATTGTCAGACAAATGTGTCTGTTTCTGGTCTGCTTGAGTTGATGTCCTGCAGTAGCTAGCTTGCTAAATCGGCCCTTTCCTAAGCCATAGATGGAGATGTGGATTTGGACTTGTGGTTTTGACTTAAGTCTCTGTACAGGCCAATGATTATGATGGCGATTCTGATCTTACCATAAATTCACATAATGTTCCACTGGCCTGAGACGATTGCAGTTCAATATGTAGCCTAGATGTAGCCTAGTAGGCTCACGTTAACTAGCTAGCTAATTTAGCTGCTCCATTTTTGCCCATGAGAGGAAGTTAGGCTAGCAATAATTTTAGCTAGTTAGCCTATAAAAACTAAAACTAAAAACGTACTGTATGGCAGAGCCATAGAACGTTTTGCCAACTAAATTGGTATTGGTGTCTTTAAGTTTGTTTTCAGTGTATTAAACTAAGCATATATAGCCTTGTTGATTTGATGATGTTGAAATGGTGATGGAATAGCGGAGGCAGTGCTCCTGTTGTCTTTGTGCTGACTTGCGGTAACTCTGTGGTTCTAAATCAGTAGTTGTTTAGTAAACTGTCAAACATTAACTTGCTTGACCATGCTGCAGGTCAACTGTTTGTTACGTGAAATATTTGTTTTGTGTACTTATCCAGACAGATGTTGCAATCCAGTTTTGTGATTAAATAAATGTATGTGTAGTTGAATTTATTTTGTTGTCACGGCCTTATTTTATATCACAGGGGCGTATTAACAAATGGGTTATAGAGCAAACAGCGCAAATATCACAACAGGTTGTAATATAGCTTTTTTTATTGTCGGCTTCCCCAGGGATTTTACCCACGCACCGCTACTGCTAACAAAGTGGATATTCGTCAAATCCGTCATGATTTATGTAGTGGAACAGGCCCACTATGTGCGTACTCAAGTCCGATTTGGACATTTTCGGCTGTTTTTGCTGCATAACATGCAGAAGTTGTCCCTTTTCAGGTTTAGAAGAAGTGACTGCTAAATACGAACTCCCTTTCGTATAAGCTGGTTAGCATAGCTACAGAAATCGTTAATGATAGTCAAAATAGTTTTTAACAGTAATGCAGTTGATTGGTAAAGATGACATGAACATGTTGGGGTTGACATCCATACAAGCATTATACTCCGATTTCTACCTCCAACATAGTGTGAAATACACATACAAACAATAGCCTAAATGTTGACTAATTTTGCTGGGGGACAATGAGGAGACTCGGGATCTTTCTCCCATGGCCCTTTCCCCCACGCGTTTCCATGGCAATTCCATTGTTTTGGTCAAGGTCCATTGAGTCCTTTACCGCATCTATTGCGAGTGTAACAGTCAAATTGCCAGGGTTAAAGGTTCCAAGCCTGTTCTATTCATTCTGTTTTTATGTGTGCTATTTTTAAACCCAGAGAGACCAGGCCGGGGTTTGGGGTTTGAGAAGTCAATGAGAGAATGGAAAAATGATTCCTTAGTTGTTGTTAATTTTCTCTAAATCTAAAAGCACAACCTAGATTCAAGCCAATGTCTTAAGTAGTTGAACATGTTATTACTCCAACCTCATGAAAGTGACAAACTGATTTTTTGTCAAATTTATAGGCCTCCCGAGTGGCGCAGCGGTCTAAGGCACTGCATCACAGTGCTAGAGGCGTCACTACAGACCTGGGTTCGATCCCAGGCTGTGTCGCAGCCGGCCGCGACCGGGAGACCCATGAGGCGGCGCACAATTGGCCCAAAAATACTCAACTTTATATTGACGGCCTGCACATGCGCAGTCCTCCTGAGGTGCTGGCGGTCGGCCTCGGCCGTCTCTCCCAGGCCCAAAGGGCAAACTGGGTGAGGCAGGTGGAGTCTCCCTGGGCACAGCCGTCCTACAGCGTTTGGTGGCGCTCCGGTTGGAGAGCAAGGACACAATCAGGAAGGTAGAGCCGCTAGAACGGCTAAGTGGGTTCTGTTCCACGTATTTCATAGTTCTGAAAAAGGATGGCAGCTTTCGGCCAATCCTGGACCTGTGCGGCCTCAACAAATGTTTAAAGGAGCTCAAGTTCAAGATGCTGTCACCAGCGCGGGTGTTGCAGGCAGTCTCGAGCAGCCAATGGTTCACTACGCTCGACCTGAAGGATGCATTCCTGTTCCTTGAGATCACTGGAAGTGCCTCCGATTTGCCTTCAAAGGAGTGGCTTACGAAGTCCTCCCGTTCGACCTTTCACTGGCGCCGCTTAAATTCACATAGTGTATGGATGCAGTCCTAGCGCCTATCATGTCCCAGGGCATTCTAGTGCTGAACTACCTGGACGACTGGCTGGTGTGTGCTCAATCAAGAGAGCAAGCTACAGCAGACACAAGGATAATCTTGAAGCACATTCAAGACCTGGGCTTTCACCCTAAACAGGGAGAAGAGCAACCTGACTCCTTCACAGACGGTGGTCTTCGTGGGGATGTTGATCGACTCAACTCTTATGAGAGTACATCTCCCTCAAGTGAGATTGGAGAATATACAGGCCTATCTGGACCGTTTCCAGCTTGGACGAGCCGTGTCCGTATTAGTGCCAGAAGTTACTCGGCCTACTCACGCCGGCTTCTCTGTTGATTCTGCTGGGCCTTCTTCACCTCAGGCCACTTCAGTGATGGTCAACTTACCATCTACACCAGAGATGACACAGACATCGTCAGCTATCGGTGACAAATGCATATGTGAGGACTCTGTTGAAATGGCACTCTCTTCCTGTTGGAGGGAGTGATACTGAACAGAGTCCACCGGAGGGAGCTAGTGTGCACCGATGCCTCGCTAGCGGTTTGTGGGAAAGTGTTCAGAGGTATAGCAGCGAGCGGACGCTGGAGCCCCCCATGGAGTAGCAAGCACATCAATGTACTGGAGCTCAGGGCGGTTTGCCTGGCACTCCAACAGTTCCTGCCCTACTTTGAGGGGAAGCATGTCCTGGTCAGATCAGACAACACCACTGTAGTGGCGTATATCAATCACCAGGGGGGACTGAGATCACGGCACCGCCACGAAATGACTTGGAACACTCATTGTCCCAGCTGGTTCTTGATGTCGAACCCTCCAGGCCCTCTGGGTTTGGAAGCCCTCGCTCACGATTGGCTGGCAACGACACTATGCGTTCCCACCATTTCTTCTGATCAGAGCTACTCTAGACAGGGTCAGTTTGAAGGGCCACCGGCTGTTCCTGATAGCCCCATACTGGTCGAGACGACCATGGTTCAGCCTCCTGTTGTCTCTCCTCTCTGGGACCCCATGGCAGCTGCCACTGAGACCCGACCTGCTCTCTCAGGCTCGGGAGACGCTCTGGCATCCAGACCCACGCTGCCTCCAGCTTTGGGCTTGGCCCCTGAGAGGCGTAAATGGGCAAGTCTAGCACTTTTGCTAGGTACCATCGAGTCAATGTTGCTGCCGCTAACCAGGTCGGGACGGCCGTGTTGGGTGTTGCCTCCACTTCCCTGGAGGGGGATGGAGGGACACAGCAACCATGACTGCCCTGAGCTCAGTCCAACAGGATTTTGCTCTTGTCTGGCCATGCCTAGTTCACCAACTTTTTTATCTGGTATTGTGATCCAATATAGTGGTTACGTACAGTTGAAGTCAGAAGTTTACATACACCTTAGCCAAATACATTTAAACTCAGTTTTTCACAATTCCTGACATTTAATCCTAGTAAAGATTCCCTGTCTTATGTCAGTTAGGATCACCACTTTATTTTAACAATGTGAAATGTCAGAATAATAGTGGAGAGAATTATTTATTTCAGCTTTTATTTCTTTCATCACATTCCCAGTGGGTCAGAAGTTTACATACACTCTTAGTATTTGGTAGCATTGTCTTTGAATTGTTTGACTTGGGTCAAACGTTTTGGGTAGCCTTCCACAAGCTTCCCACAATAAGTTGGGTGAATTTTGGCACATTCCTCCTGACAGAGCTGGTGTAAGTGAGTCAGGTTTGTAGGCCTCCTTGCTCACACACACTTTTTCAGTTCTGCCCACAAATGTTCTATAGGATTGAGGTCAGGGCTTTGTGATGGCCACTCCATTACCTTGACTTTGTTGTCCTTACGCCATTTTGCCACAACTTTGGAAGTATGCTTGGGGTCATTGTCCATTTGGAAGACCCATTTGCGACCAAGCTTTAACTTCCTGACTGATGTCTTGATGTTGCTTCAATATATCCACATCATTTTCCTTCCTCATGATGCCATCTATTTTGTGAAGTGCACCAGTCCCTCCTGCAGCAAAGCACCCCCACAGCATGATGCTGCCACACCCGTGCTTCACGGTTGGGATGGTGTTCTTTGGCTTGCAAGCCACCCCCTTTTTCGTCCAAACATAACGATAGTCATTATGGCCAAACAGTTCTATTTTTGTTTCATCCGGCCAGAGGACATTTCTCCAAAAAGTACGATCTTTGTCCCCATGTGCAGTTGCAAACTGTAGTCTGGCTTTTTTATGGCGGTTTTGGTGCAGTGGCTTCTTCCTTGCTGAGCGGCCTTTCAGGTTATGTCGATATAGGACTCGTTTTACTGTGGATATAGATACTTTTGTACCTGTTTCCTCCAGCATCTTCACAAGGTCCTTTGCTGTTGTTCTGGGATTGATTTGCACTTTTTGCACCAAAGTACGTTAATCTCTAGGAGACAGAACGCGTCTCCTTCCTGAGCGGTGTGACGGCTGCGTGGTCCCATGGTCCTTGCGTACTATTGTTTGTACAGATGAACGTGGTACCTTCAGGCATTTGGAAATTACTCCCAAGGATGAACCAGACTTGTGGAGGTCTACAATTTTTTTTCTGAGGTCTTGGCTGATTTCTTTTGATTTTCCCATGATGTCAAGCAAAGAGGCACTGAGTTGGAAGGTAGGCCTTGAAATACATCTACAGGTACACCTCCAATTGACTCAAATGATGTCAATTAGCCTATCAGAGGCTTTTAAAGCCATGACATAATTTTCTGGAATTTTCCAAGCTGTTGAAAGCACAGTCAACTTAGTGTATGTAATCTTCTGACCCACTGGAATTGTGATACAGTGAATTATAAGTGAAATAATATCTGTAAACAATTGTTGGAAAAATTACTTGTGTCATGCACAAAGTAGATGTCCTAACCGACTTGCCAAAACTATAGTTTGATAACAAGAAATTTGTGGAGTGGTTAAAAAACGAGTTTTAATGACTCCAACCTAAGTGTATGTAAACTTCCGACTTCAACTGTATGTAACCACGGTTATGTGAGCTATTGGATCACTCCAATCCTTTTGTCGGTGATCTACGACGCCTTGAAAAGGACACGAGGTGGGAGTAGTGTGGTGGCAGCTATTTAAGGGGTTCAGCCGCAGCACTACCCGGTACACAGGACTAACCTAAAATTCTTACTTGGAATGTATCCTGCTGAGCAGAATGATACCATATTGGCGTGATCCAATAGCTCACGTAACCTTGATTACATACGTAACCTTCGTTGTTAAGAGTCGATGTTAAGGCCTAAACGGACTCAACCGTCTTCAGGGTTTCCACTAGATGGCACAGCCACAAAGTCACAATTGGCTTTATCATAAAAATGCATGAAAACTAAAATGTAAGGTTAACCGTGTGGTTAGGGTTAAGGTTAGGTTTCAAATATGATTTCAAGAAGATACATTGTAGAAATAGGCAGGATTTATGACTTTGTGGCTGTGGTAATTAGTGACGACCCATCTTCAGTCAGCTGTTTGTCCCCCCCCCCCCCCAAAAAAAGACTGTCTTCATCCATAACTGTTGGTTATACGGTAATTGTGCCAGCCCTAGGCACACTACCTGCCTTTTCAATTTGCTTGAGTGGGTTTCTTCGAGATTAAAGTTTTACAAAATGGTTTTAGACAAATCCTCATTTGTGCACCCACAGGTTTTGGCCTATGCATAGTACTCACCAATATTGGCAATAATCAAATCATTATTAACTATACTATTAGCTATTAACTATGCCCATTGTCTGCCTTCCTTTTTCAAGTTTCCAGGTTGTAGTCATCATGCCTCTTCACTGCCTCCGACCTGGCTGCCCAGCGCTGATGGTGCCTTACCTGGTCACCCTCCTGCTGCTAATGACCTCTGGAGTCCATAGCCAAGGTACCATGTACTTCATTACTAATACATCATCACTACTATTTATCAGATCATGTATATACCATGTGACCGTGGTATTCAATGGCTATTTTGCTCTAGCTGTAGAAGCATACAAATCCCCTGGCATTGTGCAATCTCTCTAGACTGTCTGTCTGACATGCAGACTCATGTTAGCAATTACACTCTCAGGACACTAATGTGAACTCAGTCACTCCTTTTTGTTGCCACACACACACACACACACACTAAGCAGTTTACAGTGAGGTAAAAAAGTATTTGATCCCCTGCTGATTTTGTACGTTTGCCCACTGACAGACATGATCAGTCTATAATTTTAATGGTAGGTTTATTTGAACAGTGAGAGACAGAATATCAACAAAAAAAACCAGAACAACGCATGTCAAAAATGTTATAAATTGATTTGCATTTTAATGAGGGAAATAAGTATTTGACCCCTCTGCAAAACATGACTTAGTTCTTGGTGGCAAAACCCTTGTTGGCAATCACAGATGTCAGATGTTTCTTGTAGTTGGCCACCAGGTTTGCACACATCTCAGGAGGGATTTTGTCCCACTCCTCTTTGCAGATCTTCTCCAAGTCATTAAGGTTTCCAGGCTGACGTTTGGCAACTCGAACCTTCAGCTCCCTCCACAGATTTTCTATGCGATTAAGGTCTGGAGACTGGCTAGGCCACTCCAGGACCTTAATGTGCTTCTTCTTGAGCCACTCCTTTGTTGCCTTGGCCGTGTGTTTTGGGTCATTGTCATGCTGGAATACCCATCCACGACCCATTTTCAATGCCCTGGCTGAGGAAAGGAGGTTCTCACCTAAGATTTTACGGTACATGGCCCCGTCCATCATCCCTTTTGATGCAGTGAAGTTGTCCTGTCCCCTTAGCAGAAAAACACCCCAAAAGCATAATGTTTCCACCTCCATGTTTGATGGTGGGGATGGTGTTCTTGGGGTCATAGGCAGCATTTCTCCTCCTCCAAACACGGCGAGTTGAGTTGATGCCAAAGAGCTCGATTTTGGTCTCATCTGACCACAACACTTTCACCCAGTTCTCCTCTGAATCATTCAGATGTTCATTGGTAAACTTCAGACGGGCCTGTATATGTGCTTTCTTGAGCAGGGGGACCTTGCGGGCGCTGCAGGATTTCAGTCCTTCACGGCGTAGTGTGTTACCAATTGTTTTCTTGGTGACTATGGTCCCAGCTGCCTTGAGATCATTGACAAGATCCTCCCGTGTAGTTCTGGGCTGATTCCTCACCGTTCTCATGATCATTGCAACTCCACGAGGTGAGATCTTGCATGGAGCCCCAGGCCGAGGGAGATTGACAGTTATTTTGTGTTTCTTCCATTTGCGAATAATCGCACCAACTGTTGTCACCTTCTCACCAAGCTGCTTGGCGATGGTCTTGTAGCCCATTCCAGCCTTGTGTAGGTCTACAATCTTGTACCTGACATCCTTGGAGAGCTCTTTGGTCTTGGCCATGGTGGAGAGTTTGGAATCTGATTGATTGATTGCTTCTGTGGACAGATGTCTTTTATACAGGTAACAAGCTGAGATTAGGAGCACTCCCTTTAAGAGTGTACTCCTAATCTCAGCTGGTTACCTGTATAAAAGACACCTGGGAGCCAGACATCTTTCTGATTGAGAGGGGGTCAAATACTTATTTCCCTCATTAAAATGCAAAATCAATTTATAAAATTTTTGACATGCATTTTTCTGGATTTTTTTATTTTGTTATTCTGTCTCTCACTGTTCAAATAAACCTACCATTACAATTATAGACTGATCCTTTCTTTGTCAGTGGGCAAACGTACAAAATCAGCAGGGGATCAAATACTTTTTTCCCTCACTGTATGTCCGATAATCATATAATATAATAATGGTTGGATATTGGCTGATGTTAGTCATAGGTTTAAACAAGACATTTAATTTTGCCAGATTTTTCAGTGTACCGTTTTTATGTTTCTTTATCAGTATGCAACAGTGCTCAATCTCAGAGCTCCCAGTGCAGTCATGGCTGATGATCTCTGGGCTGTTGTTGTTATTCATGGGAGTGTGGGGCATTGACCCCAGTCTCCAGATCCCCTCTGATCCTCTGCCAGAAGTAGATGCAGGGACAGTGGGACACTACTAAAGCATTTCCATGTGAACAGAGACCCTTGCCCCTTACCCCTGTCCCACCCCCACCTCTCTGAATGAAGACAGTGCCTAATGTCAGGCATCAACAGTAAGTGCTATGATTCATGTCTGCGCTCCTCTACAATTTCTTCAGTTTTCCCCATGACGTCGTGTATAAGGTGCCTTCAAACTGACCTTCAACCTCAGGCCCTAAACGGATTTCCTGTCCCTCTTGCTATCCCAGTGGAGAACACAAGGCCTGCTTTGAGCAGACGGGCAGCTGGAGAGGAGAGAGGAGGACAGAGAGTGACACATGAAAGAAGAGGATTGTTGGGGATGCCCTCGTTGGAAATTATGGAGATTAGCCGAAAACAAGAGACTGATTTGATTGGGGAAGGAGGAAGAGGCTCCCTTTCCAAAATTGGAGGTCTGAAAAAGGTTTAGAACCTACTAAAAAATTCATTTTTTAGTAGTTTGATCTTAGAACAGCACCCCACCACCACCACCCATTGCCAAGTTCACCGCCATACTCATACCCAGAATCACATCCCCAGCAGATACACAGCCCTGCCAACACAGCTCAGTTGGTCTCTCACAACAAGTAATCACTACATAGATGTTCATGTTTCAAGTGCCTAGTGTTGATTATGCTTTTGTCTGTGTGAGAGAAAAATCAGTTGTTCCAATCACAAGTTGCTTATTTTGTTCTGTGTTCTGGCGGGTATACTTGTGAATAGCAGTCGGATTGTTGATTGTCTGATTGATTTGATATTAGATGTGGACCTATTTCTAACGTGGGTGCGTGTGTTGCCTACACTGCAGGGCGTCTGAAACTGACAGTGCTGTCTGAGGATCGGCTGCAGATGAAGTGGAAGGAGGCTGATGGGCCGGTCCAGGGATACAAGGTCCGCGTGAAGCCCATCTCAGGTGAGACAGCAGTACTGGTGTGTACTGTGAGGTTGAGGAGAGTTGATTCTAACTAAGAGTTGACAATGTTGGGTCACAATGACTTCAATCTGGAATCCTTAATCGTGAAACTGTCACGTCCGTTTGCGATATTACAACAACAAAGAAGTTACTGCAAACAACGAACAAACAGTGTTTTTTTTTCCATCTGACATCATTGCACGCGCGTTAGAACAGCAGCATATGTACTGCATTTTTTTTTTACATTGATTAGCGATGCTCCCCACCTCTGGTTCGTCAACCAAACAAAATCAATAACAACGGCCATGGCAATCAAACAAAATCAATAACAACGGCCATGGGGCGGACAGTGGTGCTGTTTCCTCCTACGATACTACGGATTCCATATTTAACCAAGACCAAGTAGCACTTACTTACAGTATATAGAGTATTGTACAGTATATACAGTGCCTTCGGAAAGTATTCAGATCCCTTGACTTTTTCCACATTTTGTTAGGTTACAGCCTTATTCTAATTTTATTTTTTTTCCCCTCATCAATCTACACACAATACCCCATAATGACAAAGCAAAACGTGCTAATTTATATTACATTTACATTAGTATTCAGACCCTTTACTCAGTACTTTGTTGAAGTACCTTTGGCAGTGACTACAGCCTCGAGTCTTCTTGGGTATGATGCTACAAGCTTGGCACACCTGTATTTGGGGAGTTTCTCCCATTCTTCTATGCAGATCCTCTCAAGCTCTGTCAGGTTGGATGGGGAGCGTCGCTGCACAGCTATTTTCAGGTCTCTCCAGAGATGTTTGATCAGATTTAAAAGTCAGGGCTCTGGCTGGGCCACTCAAGGACATTCAGAGACTTGTCCCGAAGCCACTCCTGCGTTGTCTTGGCTGTGTGCTTAGGGTCGTTGTCCTGTTGGAAGGTGAACCTTCGCTGCAGTCTGAGGTCCTGAGAGCTCTGGAGCAGGTTTTCATCAAGGACCTCTCTGTGCTTAGCTCCGTTCATCTTTGCCTCGATCCTGACTAGTCTCTCAGTCCCTGCTGCTGAAAAACATCCCCACAGCATGATTCTGCCACCATAATGCTTCACCGTAGTTTATGGTGCCATGTTTCCTCCAGATGTGACGCTTGGCATTCAGGCCAAAGAGTTCAATCTTGGTTTCATCAGACCAGAGAATCTTGTTTCTCATGGTCTGAGAGTCTTTAGGTGCCTTTTGGCAAACTCCAAACGGGCTGTCGTGCCTTTTACTGAGAAGTGGCTTCCGTCTGGCCACTCTACCATAAAGGCCTGATTTGGTGGAGTGCTGCAGAGATGGTTGGCCTTCTGGAAAGTTCTCCCATCTCCACAGAGGAACTCTAGAGCTCTGTCAGAGTGACCATCGGGTTCTTGGTCACCTCCCTAACCAAGGCCCTTCTCCCCCGATGGCTCAGTTTGGCCGGGCGGCCAGCTCTAGGAAGAGTCTTGGTGGTTCCAAACTTCTTCCATTTAAGAATGATGGGAGGCCACTGTGTTCTTGGGGACCTTCAATGCTGCAGACATTTTTTGCTGCCCTTCCCCAGATCTGTGTCTCGACACAATCCTTTCTCGGAGCGCTACGGACAATTCCTCATGGCTTGGTTTTTGCTCTGACATGCACTGTCAACAGTGGGACCTTATATAGACAGGTGTGTGCCTTTCCAAATCATGTCCAATCAATTGAATGCCAAGAGCGTGCAAAGCTGTCATCAAGGCAAAGGGTGGTTATTTGAAGAGTCTCAAATATATTTTTATTTGTTTAACACTTTTTTTTTGGTTACTACATGATTCCATATGTGTTATTTCATAGTTTTGATGTCTTCACTATTATTCTACAATCTAAAACATTTTAAAAATAAAAACCCTTGAATGAGTAGGTTTTTCCAAACTTTTGACTGGTAGTGTATGTTTTGTGTTTGTTTTTAATAAATGTACAAAAAAATGTGTGTAGGTTGCTGAGGATTTTTATTTATTTAATCCATTTTAGAATAAGGCTGTAACGTAACAAAATGTTGAAAATGTAAAGGGGTCTGAATACTTTCCGAAGGCACTGTAATTAACCAGATTATAGCGAATGAATTATAGGTAAGTGCCTCAAATTATTTTCCATTGTTGTATTTATTTTCTTTGCCTCTTTTTGAATGATTTTCCAGAACCCTACAATTTCCCACCCAGCTGCCTGTTCTCCACAATTTAAAAAAAAATAGATATATATTTTTAATAGTTTCTTTTATTTATTAATGTTTTTTTTTTCTTGTTTTTTATGTCATTGATGCTCTTATCCAGAGCGACTTACAGGAGCAATTAGGATTAAGTGCCTTGCTCAAGGGCACATCGACATATTTCACCTAGTCAGCTCGGGGATTAGAACCAGCGACCTTTTGGTTACTGGCACAACGCTCTTAACCACTAAGGTACCTGCCGCCCTAATAAAGCTTCCATGCTGTCCCTCCCACTTAACTCCATGACATCTGGAGCCAGAGTTGATCAAAGCCCTGGCCACTGGCTAGTAAACACCTGCTCACTCTAATTTATGAAAGAAGCACGAGGGGACATTAGGGATTTTGGAGAGATGGGGATGATGAAGAGATGTGGCAGTGGGCTAGAAGAGGGAAAAGGGGTATAGTATATCTGGCTCAGTTGATGTTGTAAACAAAGCCTCAAGGAACAATTGATATTTTTTGTGTTTTGGCTGCTGCAGTGCGAACACACCTGGCTGTGGAGGCTGTCACCTGATAGCTTAGGGAGATATGCTGTGGCTTATCCAACCACCTTCTGGGTCATGACTCGCACACATTCTTTACTATAGAACAATAGGATAACAGTCGTCTCTCTTCCTTGTTGATTTGTTGTCTTTTTGTCTGCTCACTATCTCTTTCTAGCATTTGTTGTGGTAACACCAGCTGTATGTATGTGTGTCTGTCTGTCAGTTGCTCTCTCACTTCTGTAACAATCTGAGAGACTGTCTGATGTGTTTATCTCTGTCCTCCAGAGGTGCCCCAGCCAGAGCTGATGCTGACTACCACGCGTGGCCGGGCTACAGTGGCAGGTCTGGACTCCAGCCAGGAATACGCCCTTCAGGTCCTAGTGCTTAACGGCACCCTGGAGAAACTCATCGCCAAGAGACGCTTCACCAGTAAGAGACGGCAGGGGAGAGGGAGTGTTGAAAAGGAAGGAGAGGCGAGGAGGAAGAACAGGGGGAGAAGGAATGAATGCAGAGGACTTAAGAGGGAGAGGGAGGAGGAATGGAATGCCGGAGGGAGATTGGAAAGGTGGATGTGAATAATGAGTAGGTTTAGTATTAAAGAGGAAGCAGAGACTATGAAATTAAGAGTGTGAAGGACAGGAGGAAGATGGATAAAGAGCCAGAGAGGGATAGCTTAAGGGAGGACAGGAGGGAGTATTCGATGGAGTGGGAGGTTGGGTGAATGTATGGAATGACTGGTATGGGGAAATGAAAGTGAGAAGGAAAGAGTAACATGTTAGAGAAAGATGATGACTACTGTACTGAGAAGGAGAGAGTGAGGGGCACAGCAAAGGAGAGATGTACAGATACAAAGATCAAGAGTGAGGACATAGGCCCTCATGCCCACTACTGTAGGAATTCTCAAAGCATTTAGGAATTTGGGGAAATCCCTTTTAAAAACCGCAGTTGACCTGTGTGGGCTTTACCATTTACATTTGACATTTAGCAGATGCTCTTATCCAGAACGACTTAAAGGAGCAATTAGGTTTAAGTGCCTTGCTTAAGGGCACATCGACAGATTTTTCACTTAGTCGGCTCGGGGATTAGAACCAGCGACCTTTCGGTTACTGGCACCACGCTCTTACCCACTACGCTACCTGCCGCCCAAATTCACTTTTTCTCTGGATGGTAAACTGGTCATCAAAAAGCAACTGTTATTCTCTGTCAGGTGACAAAACATATTATGTCTGTGGGTTGAGAAAATAAGCCTTTATAGACACAACACCCGCTCTCAGTGTTTCAGACATTTGCAGTCATCACGCACAGCCTTTTCCCAGTAATTTGGGAATTTCTGAATACCTGTGTGCCTTTCACATTTTAATGTGTGTGAACACTTCCGTATCATTACATTACATGAAACCACACACACACACACACACCTCTATCAGCCTGTCTTTCACAAGGGACTGTCTGTAATACATGTTGTGATTATTGCGGGTAGGGAGACAGAAGCTAGGTTTCCATCCAATTGGCGACAGATTTTCATGCAAACGTTCTAAAATCTGCATAAAAACAATATGCGCGTTTTCCCTCCAGAGATGATTCCATCAAATTGACATGTTGCAGATAAAAGGTTGCAGATGACGTAGTGCACATACACTGCCTTTTGCCGTTAAATTCCCATGTACTGAATAAAAAATACAAGTTAAATGGGTTTCTATCGCATTTTCAACGTTACTGATGGTTTTCTCACAAAACAAAATTGCGTTATATAGCAAGTGTGCCCACTCTGGTGTTTGCACGTGGGCTGTAGCCAACCACCCTGTACATGATGAGATTATTATTATGGACAAAAGAGCAAGGTTATTTTTATTTGTCAAACGGCAGCCAAGCATCGATTATCATGTCACCAGAATAAGACCCTCGATATTTATTGGAAAGGAGCATCAAGCTCCTCCCCGTGCACTTTCACCACCCCTGTGAAGTTCATCATCATTTATTTCATCTGTAGCCTAATAAACTGCATGCTTTCCCGACTTGTCGTAGTGGAAGGACCACACATGTCATCGCGTGACTCCAAGTTTATTTACTTCGATATGATGGTTATTATATCTATATTTGCTCTTAAAGGCGTTTCCACCGACACAAAAAGATCCCACCTTGTCTAGCGTATTTTGTTTTGTTGACATTTGGAAAGTTTTGTTGACATCAGGCCTGTCATGACATTTTTTTTATCCGACGTACTTTACTGGCATAAAAAGGTTGGATGGAAAGCTGGTTGATGTACCAACTGTTATAGGAACAAAGTGCCCTTCAAAATGTTTCTTATTGTTGCCAGCCTTTCAGTGATAGTGGGTTACTGTGTCAAGGGAAGCGCGTTGGGACAAGTCAGACTTTGGTGTTGACTGTAAAATATCTGGCTATCATTCAATAATTATCCTAGTCTGGGAGCTCCTTCCTGGCCTCTCTTCTCAAACCCCCAGCCCCACTTGTTGTTTCCATGGAAATGTCATACTATTGCCCTTTTCATGGCGCTGTGTACAGTCGTGGTCAAAAGTTTTGAGAATGACACAAGTATTGGTCTTCACAAAATTAGCTGCTTCAGTGTTATGAGATATTTTTGTTAGATGTTACTATGGTATACTGAAGTATAATTACAAGCATTCCATAAGTGTCAAATGCTTTTATTGACAATTACATTAAGTTTATGCAAAGAGTCAATATTTGCAGTGTTGACCCTTCTTTTTCAAGATCTCTGCAATCCGCCCTGGCATGCTGTCAATTCACTTCTGGGCCACATCCTGACTGATGGCAGCCCATTCTTGCATAATCAATGCTTGGAGTTTGTCAGAATTTCTGGGTTTTTGTTTGTCCACCCGCTTCTTGAGGATCGACCACAAGTTCTCAATGGGATTAAGGTCTGGGGAGTTTCCTGGCCATGGACCCAAAATGTCGATGTTTTGTTCCACGAGCCACTTAGTTATCACTTTTGCCTTATGGCAAGGTGCTCCATCATGCTGGAAAAGGCATTGGTCGTCACCAAACTGTTCTTGGATGGTTGGGAGAAGTTGCTCTCGGAGGATGTGTTGGTACCATTCTTTATTCATGGCTGTGTTCTTAGGCAAAAATGTGAGTGAGCCCACTCCCTTGGCTGAGAAGCAACCCCACACATGAATGGTCTCAGGATGCTTTACTGTTGGCATGACACAGGACTGATGGTAGCGCTCACCTTGTCTTCTCTGGACAAGGTGTTTTCCGGATGCCCCAAACAATCGGAAAGGGGATTCATCAGAGAAAATGACTTTACCCCAGTCCTCAGCAGTCCAATCCCTGTACCTTTTGCACAATATCAGTCTGTCCCTGATGTTTTTCCTGGAGAGAAGTGGCTTCTTTGCTGCCCTTCTTGACACCAGGCCATCCTCCAAAGGTCTTTGCCTCACTGTAAGTGCAGATGCACTCACACCTGCCTGCTGCCATTCCTGAGCAAGCTCTGCACTGGTGGTGCCCCGATCCCGCAGCTGAATCAACTTTAGGAGACGGTCCTGGCGCTTGCTGGACTTTCTTGGGCGCCCTGATGCCTTCTTCACAGCAATTGAACCTCTCTCCTTGAAGTTCTTGATGATCCGATAAATGGTTGATTTAGGTGCAATCTTACTAGCAGCAATATCCTTGCCTGTGAAGCCCTTTTTGTGCAAAGCAATGATGATGGCACGTGTTTCCTTGCAGGTAACCATGGATAACAGAGGAAGAACAATGATTTCAAGCAACACCCTCCTTTTAAAGCTTCCAGTCTGTTATTTTAACTCAATCAGCATGACAGAGTGATCTCCAGCCTTGTCCTCGTCAACACTCTCACCTGTGTTAACGAGAGAATCACTGACATGATGTCAGCTGGTCCTTTTGTGGCAGGGCTGAAATGCAGTGGAAATGTTTTTTTGGGATTAAGTTAATTTTCATGGCAAATGTTTGCAATTAATTGCAATTCATCTGATCACTCTTCATGACATTCTGGAGTATATGCAAATTGCCATCATCAAAACTGAGGCAGCAGACTTTGTGAAAATTAGTATTTGCATCATTCTCAAAACTTTTGACCACGACTGTATGTGCTGGCATTTCTTTTTGTCAAGCTCTGCATAGAAATGCTATGTTTATTGTGTAGAATGTACAATTATTTTGATTCATTTACTCATCCACTGTTCCACATTTCGCCTTTCCTTCTCAATTCCTCTTCTTCCTCCTCTTCCTCTCCAACCACTGCTGTCATTTCTCTTCCACCATCTTTTCCTCCTTCGTCTATCCATGGCTCCATTTCCTCTCTTCTGTCCCCTTGCTCTCCTCCCTGTATCCTGCCAGTTGAGGGCTTGCGAGAGGAGGAGTTGGTCCGTAGTGGCAGTCGTGAACAGCGGAGGAAGGCCCTGCCAGGGGGGTCAGGGTCAGGTGAACTGGATGACCCCATAGAGGCCCTGCGAGCTGTACCCACTGTAGTCTACCATGAGCCGACAACCACCACCGCTACAGGTAGGGGGCGCTCTAACTCAGGGAGGGCTTTTAGGTCAAAGGATTTTACACTGTAGAGCAGGGGTATTCAAATCTTAACCTATGAGGTCCAGATTACCTCTGTTTTACTTAATAATTAATGGAACCTACCGGTTGACAGGTCTAAATCTGTCTCTGATTAGAGGGGAAGAATGGGGAAAAAAGCAGTGGAACTGGTTTTGAGGTCCAGATTTGAATTTGAGGGCCGTAGAGCAATGCCCAAGAATCTTACTCTGGGCCAATAAGCACTGAAGTGAATATAATGGTCATCCTCAATCAGTTCTGCAAGTAATGTGCTGTAACAGGATTTTATGTTTTGAGGGTTATTTCACTTCTTGTTTACTGTCGTAATTATATACGTCACACTACAGTGCTTTTGGCAAAAGGTAGGCATACCGTATCTAATATGTTCAGGTCTGATAATTGCTTTGGTTGTGGGTGGAAACAGTGGCACTTAGAAAATAAAAAACACAATGCCTCCCCATAGTTGATATTAATATGTGCTCCTCTCTGTTCCGCCATGGGCTCTGTCATTATGTGTGTGTTTAACTGGGAGGGTGGGGGCAGGAGCCTGGAGAGGCGCCAGTGTTCTGTAATGAGAGCCCTGCTGCAGTGCCACAGCTGTAATCTGCCCTGTCCTGTCCTGGCCTAGGATATGCACTGCACTGGAGAGAAACAGGGGGAGGAAACAGGGAGTGGACATGGGGTGTGGGATAAGGGACTGTCCAACAGGGGTTTACTAGTTCCCTGTATCTTAACAATGTCTCATAAGAACTGGAGATTGGATATTACTATGACCTGTAACTGAATGTTTATGTCATCATATAAGAACTGGTGTCCAGAAATGATTATGCTATTGTAATTTCTGTCATAGACTTTGTTTCTTTAACACGACCATCTGTCAAATTGTGTTTCTGTAGAACCTCCAACTACTCCAGTAACAACTACCCAGAATAATGACTTGGTGACAGAGAAGGCTCCCAAAGAGAAGAGGAAGAAGAAGAAAGAGAAGAATCGCTCCAAGGTGGACAATAAGGAGGAGCAAGGGACAACTCAGGGGAAACCAGTAGAGGATGAGAACTCAGACAGGGAGAAACTCAGGAAGACAATCCCCACCCAGCCTGTCACAGGTACACCAACTCCCATCCATCCCACCTACAGCAAACAGTTTGTAAAAACACAATAACTATTACTTCTCCAAGATGTACCAGGCAAAATGTTTTTGTTTAAAACGCCTGGCTGTTAATGTATTTTCAGTGTTGTAAGTGAAGTACCCTATTCAGAGCCCTTAATATGCACACTCTTCTAGCGCTAAAGGATAAAGTTAAGTCCTAGAAGAGGAGTTCGGGCCTTCCTTTGTCATCCTCAGCACTGCAATCGTATAAAAAATATTCCAGTTAGTGGCTATTTCAGATCTGATGACAGCGTTTCCTGAGGAGGGGAACACATAGAGGACAGGATAATGATAGGGCCTCTAGGGCAGGAATGTGCTCCCACTCCCCTGTAATCCTCTGTAACACACACACACACACACCTACCTACTACTACTTCTAATACTACTATAAATGCATTCTCCTTAGTTTGGATCAGCCAGTTTCTTGATTTTAAGAGTGTTTCTTCATTAATCCAGTGGTGTCCACTCGGAAGGCCTTTGAGTGTGACACGACAGCAGCTGCTGATGTGGTCATGTTGGTGGACGGCTCCTGGAGCATCGGACGCACCAACTTCAGACGTGTCAGGGACTTCCTGGAGGGTCTAGTTACGCCTTTCCATATCGGCCCAGACAGGGTGCAGATAGGTGAGACACAGCAGACTCTTTCTGCTGAATTTGCGTTTTGTGTTTCTTATAAAAGGGTGTGTGATGTGATTGCATAATTAATACAATAATAAACCACATATATAAGACCTCCCCAGGCAAAAGTATTTTGATGTTAAGGATTCTTTGTACATTTTCTTTAATCTAAATCCTGGTGGTTTTGGCCACTTTCCAGTTTCTGCAGCTGCATTTACTAGGTCTATAACAGAACTCTCCTCTATTAGCTTTTGACTTTATGGGACACCAATAACTGTCGTGTGGAGTGCTATTAACAGTTTATTGCCCCTCCGTTTCCCAGCCCTTTCTCAGTACAGTGGAGACCCTCGCACAGAGTGGCAGCTCAATAACTTCACTACCAAAGAGCAGCTGCTGGAAGCAGTCAGGAACTTCAGATACAAGGGAGGCAACACCTTCACAGGCCAGGCTCTGCTGCATGTCCTGGAGGAGAACCTGAGACAAGAGTCGGGGGCGAGGCCGGACACCCCTCGATTCCTGATCCTCCTGACGGATGGGAAGTCGCAGGACGACGCCATCGCTGCAGCCAACCGGCTGAAGAACAAAGGCGTGGAGATCATCGCTGTAGGTGAGATCTACCCTGGTGGTGCAGCCTGTTACTCTGGAGGGTTTAGTTCGCATAATAGAGAGTACGGGAAGTACAGGTGTTTGTATGGCTTTGTTTGTTTGTTTTTGCATGTTGTTTATGCATGGTTGTGTTTGTCAGTAATTTGTGTGTGTCTGTACATGAATGTATTGCCGTGTGAAAAAAGGCCTGTCCCTGTCTCTCTCAGGTGTGAAGAACGCAGACGAATCCGAGCTGAGGCAGGTGGCGTCGGAGCCTCTGGAGCTCAACGTCTACAATGTGAATGACTTCCCTCTGCTCAGCAAACTGGTGGACCGACTGGTGCACATCCTCTGTGGGAAGATAGAGGAGCGCAGCATTGCGAAGAGTGAGTTTAGTACTTCAGTACATTCATATGTTTGTATAAACTCTCACAACCTGACATAAGTCCATTTGTGGCAAAGGCAATGAGAAATGCCAAGAAACATTATATCTTCACAGAGTGAGAAAATACCAAGTCAAGTTTCCTCATTCTCTGTTTACTGCGCAGGAAACGAAAGGCCGACAGAGGACCCTGTGCTGTCCTACCCCAGCCCCACAAACCTGGAGTTCTCTGAGCTGGGCCCCAGGGAGGTGCAGCTGAGCTGGACTGGACCTACCCGTCCCGTCCTGCAGTACAGAGTGGTGTTCCACAGCGCTGAGGGACAGAGCCCACAGGAGGTCAGAGACAGACAGAATGTTCTCATGAATGTCGGCATTTACAAGTCATTGCAGTTATGGAGCTCTAGAACTTTAGTCATGGAAAAAAAGCAGTTGTGTAAACATGTAGCTATTTGGTGGTTTTGGCTGTGAGTGACTTGATCCCTGTGATTTATGTGTTCAGGTGGTTGTGAATGGGACCGTCTCCAGTGTGCTGTTGGGTGGACTCTCCTCCCAGACTCACTACCACATATCAATCTTCCCTGTCTACGATGACAATGTTGGTCTGGCCCTCAGAGGGACCGTCACCACATGTAAGGCACAACCCATCTGACACATTCCTCAAATATGATGTACTTCATAATTCAAATAACTAGACGAAACCATAGAAATAACTTCTGATACATTCTCTCTCTCTCTACCCTCTCCTTCCTTCCCTCTCTTTCTCTCCTCTCCTGGGTCATCAGTGCCCCTGGCCATGCCGGAAGGTCTGGAGGTGACCCCCTCGTCCCCCAGCAGTCTGAGGGTGCGTTGGAGGGCCGCGGCGGGGGCCACTCAGTATATGGTCCTCTACTCCTCCCTCAGCCACGGAGAGCCCGATGATGCCAAGGAGGTGAGGTTACTGGAGGATGGCAGATGGATGTGTGTGTGGTAGGATCATTTTGTGTTTCCTCACGTTGATGGGTGTATGTTAAATCCCTGTCCCAGGTGAAGTTTGGGGCAGACCAGACTGATGTGGTGCTGGGTGGTCTGATGCCAGTGACAGATTACTCTGTCACCCTGTACGCCCTGTATGACGAGGACCCCAGTGACCCTGTCACCGCCATTGCCACCACATGTGAGGGAGTCATCACTGCCTGTTATTAATGAACATTCAATCAACCTTTTTATTAATTATTTGTTAACCCAGACAGTGTTACAATACTGGTATGTTTGAAAGATATGCGTGAAGTCCTTTCCATCATTCTCTTTCTATCCCTCTCTCTGCATCCTCTCGCTCTCTCTCTCTGTAGACCCGTTGCCCTCCCCTGTGAGTATGAAGTTTCCCATGGTGAGCCACAGCATGGTCAGGGTCAGCTGGGTTCCTGGAGTGGTCGACGTTCCCGGTCACAGAATCACCTGCAGCACCAACCATGGCAGTGACGTCAAACAGGTGTTCACCATTTAACTACTGTGGAATAAAACAGACATACTACTCAATGAAAATGATTTATTTTAAGAGGTTTCCTTGATTGATTGACTATCTCTCCTCTCTCCTCCCTCCCAGGTGGAGGTGACAGGTGTGAACTCAGTGCTGCTACAGAACCTGTCCTCTCTGTCTAGATACTTGGTGTCGGTGCAGTCCCAGTTTGAGCAGGGCCTGTCCTCACCGCTCACAGCCAACGTCACCACATGTAAGATCATGAAACCTAACGCTTCACACACACACGCATTTCAACATCCAGACATGACCTGTGCATGTGACAGAGATTGTGGTTTCTCCCCCTCCCCTCTCTCTGTGTCTCTCTATCTGTCAGTGAGGGTACCAGCCACCTCTGATCTCAGAGTCACAAACTTCTCAGGAAGTGACATCACAGTTCGATGGGAGTCAGCCGCAGATGATGTTGTCTCCTACCTGATCAAATGGATCTCACTCAGTGGAGGGGACCTCAGACAGGTACAGAATGTGGAGGAACCTCAGCTTGTCTGTTATGACTACTAAGACTCACCGTATTTAATTGCCAATACAATGCTGTGTTGCATGTATTTTAGTATTACATTTGCTGTGTGTGTTCCAGTTGAGGGTGGATGGGGACAGCGAGGGGGCCATATTGGAGGGGGTGCAGGACGATAAGGAGTATCAGATCTCACTGTCTGCCCTCTACGCTGATGGAGCACAGAGTGAGGCTGTGGCTATACGGTACAGCACCTGTGAGTACAGAATACTCCCATTGTTTCAGACCTGGAGATGTTAATCAGATCAATATGTAATATTGGGATGTACTGTTGTAGTTTTCAGCATAAAGATCATGTATTAATGTGTTATGTGCCTATATCATAGTGTCAGGTGGCGGCCCTTCCAGTGTGTCCATCTCAGAGGAGACTGCAGTTAGTCTTCTGGTGAGCTGGGTTCCTCCCAATGCCCATGTACTGCAGTACCATGTCTCCTACACCGCCCTGACGGGAGGAGAGACACAGGAGAGCACTGTGAGTAACACACACACACACACACACACACACACAGGTCAGGTTAGGTTAGGTTGTCACAGTGTTGTTATGCCCCTGCAGGAGTTGGTTTCAGGCAGTGAGAGACGGACATTGCTGCAGACCCTGCTACCTGACACACGCTACAGCATCCTGGTCACTGCAGAGTACCGCAACCGAGAGGGAGGGAGTGCCTCGGCACAGGGCAAAACCAGTGAGTCTGTCTGACACACTCATTTGTCATTAATAGTCTATCACCTGTGAATGCATGATCTCGCATGCACTAGTACACTCAGACATCCCGTCAGTTGTCTCTGTATGTCGGTTTCTCCAGCCAGTCTGCGAGTGAGCAGTGTCAGTGTGATGAGGTCTGATCACTCCAGTATCTGTGTGTCTTGGAGGCCTGTTTCAGCAGTCAGTGGTTACCGCATTGCCATCCAGTCTTTCAAAGGTAACAAGACCTTTCTAGCACATCTTGAAGTTACTCGGGTAGTCAGGAATCTTGGTTTTTGAGCTACCATCCATCGCTGTTTCTTACAATAATTTTTTTGTGTGGTGTATGTTTTTCTCTATGTCCCTACTGTGTTTGGGAGCCCAGACAAGCAGACAAAGCAGGAGATAGTGGATGCATCAAGCAGCAGCTACTGTTTCACTGAGCTGGAGCCAGAGACTGTGTACCGCATCAGTGTGCACTCCCGCCTCGACACTGTAGAGGGCGCTGCAGTCTCCATTCTCCACCCCACAGGTTCGAATAACATCAGCATTGTAGATGTAAACAGATCACTGGGGTACAATCCTCTTGATATATCCTCACTTATTCATAGAGTGGATAGATGCGGTGTGAAACACTCTCAATGTAACATTACACATTCATTGAAGTAGAACTAGATATAAGTCATGAGCGTTTGGATTTTGACCCCTACAGCATCGGCTCCAGCCAGAATCCCCATTCATCCCAGATTGCACCCAATTCGCAATGAAGGTACTTCTTTATATTATAGTTATTTGTACAGAACAGAGCTATATTGACAGTGCTGTTTGTGTGCTGACAGTGCTGTAACATAACTTTGTTTGTGATTAAACACTGCCCTCTTGTTTTACAGTATGCCCTGAGGTGACCATCAGAAACAGTATTGTAAAAGGTAAGGAAATTATGTTTTGAAAGTAAAGAGCTTTTGTCATCTACACATGGGTGTGTGTGAGACAGTCTGTGTTTCTGCACCAGGGTTTGATATGATGGAGGCTTTTGGTCTGACCCAGAGGGCTTACTCATCTGTGGAGGGGGTGGCTGCTGAGCCTTTTGTCTTCAATACTCTACACACCTATACTGTGTACAGAGACATCCAACTGACCCAGAGCACAGGGTGAGACATTTACACACACACACACACACACACACAAACACACACACACACACACACACACACACACACACAGTTCAATTATCTCAATATTGTCCCATCCACAGGTTCATCCACCCAGCAGGCTTTTCTCCGGAGCACACCATCAGTATAGCGTTCCGTCTGCTACAGGACACCCCCAGGGAGCCCTTTGCCCTCTGGCAACTCACTGACAACGACTTCCAGCCCAAGATGGGTGTGGTGCTGGACCGTGAGTCTGAGGAGAGGGATGGGGTTGAGGACTGTAGTTTTTACTGTTGTGCTCAGGGTGCTCACAAAATTTGCTGCAGCCATCCTGGCTGTTTACATTTGAAATTTTTAGCGACTTACAATTAGTGCATTCATGTTAAGATAGCTAGGTGAGACAGAAATACATCACAGTACATTTTCCCTCAACAAAGTATTTCTTAGCAAAGTCAGTACTAGTAGGAAAATGCAAGTGCCTTTTCTTTTTTTTTGGGGGGGGGGGGGGGGGCATTAGTTATTTAAGACACTCTTCAAAGAGGTAGGGTTTCAGACGTTATTGGAAGATGGGCAGGGACTCCGCTGTTCTGACTTTAGGGGAAAGCTTGTTTACTCATCATACGGTGGATCATTTCCCCCAAAAACAGTTTTTCCTCTCACCTCCCTCCTCTGTCTCTCTCTCTGTGTCTCTCTGTGTCTCTCTGTGTCTCTCTGTGTCTCTCTGTGTCTCTCTGTGTCTCTCTGTGTCTCTGTGTCTCTGTGTCTCTCTGTGTCTCTCTGTGTCTCTCTGTGTCTCTCTGTGTCTCTCTGTCTCTCTGTGTCTCTGTGTCTGTGCCCCCTAGCTGTGAGCAAACTGCTGCTGTACTTCAGTCTGGACTACAGAGGGGAGGTTCAGGAACTCACCTTTGACCAGCCACAGGTCCACAGGCTGTTCTACGGAAGCTTCCACAAGGTGAACGAGAGAGAAAAATACTTGATAAATAGAAGGAAGAAAGCTGGAGAGAAAAAGAGGACGAGAGACAGTTCAATATCAAGACAATGTTGAGTTTTAGATGGTGATGAGAGAATGTGACCATAGATATAGAACTCTAATATATTGTCTATAGTTGTGACATACAGCATGAGTCGGTCTAACACACCCTTCTGTCCTGTGATTGGCAGATTCACCTGTCTATCAGCCAGGTGAGCGTATCCCTGTCTGTGGACTGCCAGCGTGTGGGTGAGAGGCCCGCGCGGCCCCTGGGGACTCTGCCCACTGACGGCTTTGAGATGCTGGGCAAACTGATGAAGACCCGTGGGACCACACAGCGGCTCTGCCCCGGTTAGTTGGAACAAAACTGTTACTTTTACCCACACATAACAAATACTGTAGTAACCAGACTCTCTGTTTTACCTCCTCCAGTTCCAGCTGCAGTCCTTTGAGATTGTGTGCAACACCACCTGGGTCTTAGAGGACACCTGCTGTGATCTGCCAGGCCTGGTTAGTGACACACAGTAACTATATTAAAGGTCATGGGAAATAAATAAATACAGATGTGTAGAGGAATATGGAGTTAATGAATGCATTAGAAGCAGAGGCCCTCTGGTGTCCTGCCCTGAATATAACTGTAACTTCATTGACTGTAATCCTGCCTGTGTGACTATGTCAGAGGGATGAGGAGAGCTGCCCCGCCCCTGCCTATGCCTGCACCTGTACCTCCGACATACCTGGAGCTCCTGGGGTCACTGGGCCTCCTGTGAGTCACAGTGTGACAATGTTACATTATGATTAAAGCAGAATAAATTGATTAAATTAACGGAAATGTAGTTATGAAATGATTGCCAATTGCAATGATTTCATGACTGATCCTAAGATGATTATGCAACAATCCTTGTCTCTGTTTTTTAGGGCAAACCGGGTCCTCGTGGAGAAAAGGGTGAAAAGGGAGAGGAGGGCCAAAAGGTCAGAGGTCATAACACTTGTGAAGCCTATACACAAGCACCTGAACAATTCACTATACACAGCTGAACACCATCTGTATTGCATCATAGCCTATTTTCACATGTACTGTACATGATCATGTTTGTCAGAATGTGATTGTGACAGATCTTCCTATATTTTAACCTCTGTTCACCACTCCTGTTTTTCTCAGGGTGAGATGGGGCCCTTCAGGGAAAATGGGGTCAGAAGGCGTACTTGGGCCCCTGGGAAATCGTGGCCCTCGGGGATTGACAGTTCAGGGCAAAGCGGTGGGTCGAATTTAAATTGTTATTTTAGAGCATCCTTATTGCTCTCCATGTTTAGAAAGTGCTACCTTGCTTTTTAAATGCATCTATCATGTTTGCCCTTTTGAATTGGAAAAATATGTTATTGTGATCAAGTGTGCAATGTCAGCATATTGCAGATCTGTGCCATGCTATTGTGCGATTACAACATTATTTATCACTTATGACCTCTGTCCGTTCCGTCTCTACAGGGACCACCAGGGGCTAGGGGTGTGAAGGGGGAGGTGGGAAAGCCAGGGGGGCAGGTGAGTCTGAATTACAACATTCCCATTTAATAAACCGAACAGGATATTATTCTGACTTTACCAGTCTCTCATCATTTGATTCACTGTGCTGTTGTTTGCATTATGGTTTTCTTCTTTGATCCCTCCACTTTCCTTCCGTCTCCTTCCCAATAATCTCCTTTACATCCTCCCCTCCTCCATCCTCATCCCTGTGTTTCTGTAGGGTTTACCAGGTCCTCCTGGACCCAAAGGGAACGAAGGACCCCCAGGCCCCAAGGTGAGCTCAATCTCAACCCTTATTCAAACACATCCTTGCCCAGTTCCACAAACCATGCCTGGAGTTCAAGACTCCAAGTGTTTGTATTATTAGTGTACAGTGGGGAAAAAAAGTATTTAGTCAGCCACCAATTGTGCAAGTTCTCCCACTTAAAAAGATGAGAGAGGCCTGTAATTTTCATCATAGGTACACGTCAACTATGACAGACAAAATGAGAAGAAAAAAATCCAGAAAATCACATTGTAGGATTTTTTATGAATTTATTTGCAAATTATGGTGGAAAATAAGTATTTGGTCAATAACAAAAGTTTCTCAATACTTAGTTATATACCCTTTGTTGGCAATGACACAGGTCAAACGTTTTCTGTAAGTCTTCACAAGGTTTTCACACACTGTTGCTGGTATTTTGGCCCATTCCTCCATGCAGATCTCCTCTAGAGCAGTGATGTTTTGGGGCTGTCGCTGGGCAACACAGACTTTCAACTCCCTCCAAAGATTTTCTATGGGGTTGAGATCTGGAGACTGGCTAGGCCACTCCAGGACCTTGAAATGCTTCTTACGAAGCCACTCCTTCGTTGCCTGGGCGGTGTGTTTGGGATCATTGTCATGCTGAAAGACCCAGCCACGTTTCATCTTCAATGCCCTTGCTGATGGAAGGAGGTTTTCACTCAAAATCTCACGATACATGGCCCCATTCATTCTTTCCTTTACACGGATCAGTCGTCCTGGTCCCTTTGCAGAAAAACAGCCCCAAAGCATGATGTTTCCACCCCCATGCTTCATAGTAGGTATGGTGTTCTTTGGATGCAACTCAGCATTCTTTGTCCTCCAAACACGACGAGTTGAGTTTTTACCAAAAAGTTCTATTTTGGTTTCATCTGACCATATGACATTCTCCCAATCCTCTTCTGGATCATCCAAATGCACTCTAGCAAACTTCAGACGGGCCTGGACATGTACTGGCTTAAGTAGGGGGACACGTCTGGCACTGCAGGATTTGAGTCCCTGGTGGCGTAGTGTGTTACTGATGGTAGGCTTTGTTACTTTGGTCCCAGCTCTCTGCAGGTCATTCACTAGGTCCCCCCGTGTGGTTCTGTGATTTTTGCTCACCGTTCTTGTGATCATTTTGACCCCACGGGGTGAGATCTTGTGTGGAGCCCCAGATCGAGGGAGATTATCAGTGGTCTTGTATGTCTTCCATTTCCTAATAATTGCTCCCACAGTTGATTTCTTCAAACCAAGCTGCATATCTATTGCAGATTCAGTCTTCCCAGCCTGGTGCAGGTCTACAATTTTGTTTCTGGTGTCCTTTGACAGCTCTTTGGTCTTGGCCATAGTGGAGTTTGGAGTGTGACTGTTTGAGGTTGTGGACAGGTGTATTTTATACTGATAACAAGTTCAAACAGGTGCCATTAATACAGGTAACGAGTGGAGGACAGAGGAGCCTCTTAAAGAAGAAGTTACAGGTCTGTGAGAGCCAGAAATCTTGCTTGTTTGTAGGTGACCAAATACTTATTTTCCACCATAATTTGCAAATAAATTCATTAAAAATCCTACAATGTGATTTTCTGGATTTTTTTCCCTCAATTTGTCTATCATAGTTGACGTGTACCGATGATGAAAATTACAGGCCTCTCTCATCTTTTTAAGTGGGAGAACTTGCACAATTGGTGGCTGACTAAATACTTTTTTTCCCCATTGTATATGTATCAGTCTGAAGCCAGCTCTGACCCTGACCTTTGCCTCCTCTTGGTGTTTTTCAGGGCATCAGAGGAGTTGAGGGGAACATGGGCGGACCAGGGATTACTGGACCTAGGGTAAGAATGGGATGAATGTAAAGCAGAGACATACTTGTCATTGTTTACTAGTGATCTCTCTCTCTATTCCTCCTCCCCTAATCCACCCATCTGTGTTTTCAGGGTTTCCAGGGTATGCCAGGACACCCAGGGGTTGTTGGAGAGAGAGGACCTTTAGGGGGGGTGGGGCCTACAGTAAGTACTGAGGGACAAACGGAGCTTCATGACCTGAGACTTTCGCATCCAATATACTGTTGAAAACAACAATAATCCATTACACAATTTCAGTATTCTCAACTCATTAAGTGATCATCCATTGTCTGAGGTGAATCAAATTGTATTTGTAGCGATAGTGGTTATCAACTAGTTGATCGTAGTTTCCCTTTCTATTGACAGGGTCTTCCTGGGAATAAGGGTGAAAGGGGAGAGAAGGTACGTTTTTATAATGCAAGTTTGTCTATGTGCAAGAAAACGTGTTTGTGCTCTCTTGACCCGTTGATTGACAGACATGCTCTGTTTTAGGGAGAGCCTCAGTCCATGGCAATGATCTTCCAGCTAGTCACACAGGCCTGTGAGCAACTGGTGCACAGTAAGTACTGCAATGCTGTACTTGTGTTAATGTAAGGTGATGTTTGAGTGAGTGCACATAGTTGTGTGTATCTATGTAGACTTATTCAGGATTGTTTTTCAGACGAGGTGCTGAAGCTGGATTTGTTCTTGAATGAGATGAGCCGTAAGCCTGTGCCCATTGAGGAACCAGTGGGTCCCCCAGGAGAGCCTGGTATACCAGGGGGAAAGGGCCCACCAGGACAGAGGGGGAACCAGGGAAGACTGGGGACTAGAGGGGAACCAGGGAAGTCTGGATACCCAGGAGAGCAGGGTGAGGCCTTTGGTTTTAGCCCTTCTCTAAATCTACTCTTCCTTCTAATGGTATTGATAATTACTAGTGGTGGTAGTGTTATATTGTTGGTCTTAAGTGATAAGTGTCTCTCATCAGTGGTTCCTTCTTTCCTTCAGGACGTAGAGGTGCCCCTGGGGAGAAAGGCAGCTTAGGGCCCAATGTCCAGGGACCACAGGGAATCAAAGGATTTGCAGGTACACTCAAATCAAGAAATGGTCTGAAAAGGTTCATTGCTGCTGTCAACTTAGTGATGAGGGTTTTTGTGATTGTATTTGTGCAGGTCTCCCAGGAGAGGCCAAGCTGGGCAGTCCCGGCCCTAGAGGAGAGGATGGCCAGACGGGACCTCCAGGCATCGCAGGAGCAGTCGGGCAGACAGGAGAGATCGGTCCCCCTGGCGTCTGTGATAGCAGTGGCTGTCATAGAGGTGCTCAACCACAAGCAGGTATAACAGCCATATCTAGGACCATTTACAGTAAATATTTCCATATTTCATATATTACCATAAGTGCTTTGACCTCCATGTGATTTTAATGTTTTGACTGCATGTCATTTTTCAGAGGACCCATATTTTGGATACCAGCCTTGAGCACACAGTGGAAGCTGAATTTTCTTGTGACATTGTGGTCCAGCTCCTATCATCTCCTTCATTTTAAGTGCCATTTTGAGTGACATAGAGCACTTGTGCCTTTAGACCTGATGGACAGACTGGGACTGGAGCTGACAAAGCACCACAGTGGAGCGTGTTTGGTGCATTGGAGCCAGTCAGTGACTCAGAGACACATGCTCCACTATAAAGGGGAAAAAGAAGTTGATATGGTTCCTCTTTTCATGAAACACAAATGTATCAAGTACATTTTTAAAGTATTTGAATAGGTCTACCTGTTAATACACTTTCTCTAACATATTGTAAAGGCCTATGTTTTAATGGAGGCTATGTAGTGGATATTTTGGCAGACAGTAGGCCTGTTGTAGTTAACTGATGTATATTACCACCTTCGCACTGAAAATGTTACATCTGTTACTTACTTTGTCCATGTTTTTGTACTCATGCACTGTAACATATTACATGTGAAGCATACATTCAAATATGGTTCCTGTCATCTGTAGCTTTTTTTTTAACCTAAACTGCCTCAAGAAAATGTTAATCAAAAGGGTTAATTTTGTAAAAAAGCAATATTTTGTTTCAAACAAATGATATACTGTGAGAATGTCTTTATTGTTTTATAGATATACTGTATATGATCAATTGAATCTTGTTATTCTCATTATACACTAACATGCAGCTTTTCCTGTATTATGTTTTGTATGTTGTCTCACAGGAAAGCCCTGTTGACAATTCCTGCTTTATGTGTGTAAATGGCCATTGGCAGTTGTAATGTGTTCTTGAAAATATTTTATTATACAATGTCTTTTACTTTTATCTACTCTGAAGTGTGTGTGTGTGTGTGTGTGTGTGTGTGTGTGAGAGAGAGAGACCAGCATTAGACCAGCTTTTACAGAAATATGGTAGTCTAAATAATTATACAGCAGGAAGCCAATTGAGAGTAATAAAATCATGACCTAAAGAAGTGCACTCGCCTAAACTCTTTCTTAATCCCCAAACAGTGGACAAGTTTTGGCTTCAATGATAATGGTTGTGTACTGCAAGACAATAAAAGATAGGCTACTGTTACTGGTGAATTTAACTGAATATTGGCATGATCTGTTCGAGCCTTGAATGCTGATTGGCTGACAGCCGTGGCTACGGGCTGTATCCAGGCACTCCGCGTTGCCTTGCTTAAGAACAGCCCTTAGCTGTGGTATATTGGCCATATACCACACCCCCTCATGCCTTATTGCTTAATTATAAACTGGGTGGTTGGAGCCCTGAATGCTGATTGGCTGACAGTCGTGGTATATCAGACTGTATACCACGGGTATGACAAAACATTTATTTTTACTGCTCTAATTACGTTGGTAACCAGTTTATAATAGGAATAAGGCACCTCGGGGGTTGTGGTATATGGCCAATATACCACGGCCAAGGGCTGTAAGAACAACCCTTGGCCATATACCACACCCCCTCGGGCCTTATTGCTTAAATATTCCTCGTAAAGGATATTTGATGCAACAACTCGGATGCAGAGTAGCCCACGTTTTGCCAGCATTGGGAGGCCAGAGATAGCCAGACAAGTAAATTGTCCTAAGGAACAGAAGTTTGGTATTGGAGAAAGGTCATAAGCGCGTGTTCTGCAAACAATACAGCGGATGAAGGCGCTGCATGAGCGAGGAGAATGGATAGACGTGGTTATGGACAGCTAGGAACAATGACAAGAGCAGAGTGTAGAGGGAAGTTGAGAGAATGGTGCCAAGTAGGCCAACAAAACGTACTCTGCTGTCTCTGATGGCTCAGAAATTGAACCTGACGAGAGTGGGGATGAATTACTTGTGGTGAAGACGTTGAACTCCAAGTCCGAGCCTCGCCCCAATGGTCATGCAAAGTATTGATGTGAGGGTTGACTCATAACCCGCAGTCATGGCCATGAAATATTGTGTGTGGCTGAAGGGCGTGTGGGTGGTGGGCAGGTTGAATAAAAATAAAACAATAGCTTAAAAAATCCATAAATGTATCATTCTTGTGCAATTTATATCTATAGGCTACACTGAGTTTTTTATTAATTATTTTAGGCTGTCTGGCATTAGTGAGTAAGCCTAAGCTTCAACTGTAGCCTACGCCCCCCAAAAACTCTTACAAGCCAATTGCCAAATGATTTTGGGAAGAGGCAGAAAAAGTTAACATCGATCCACGGTGGAAGAAAGGACAATCTCAGGGTTTAATTCAATAAGAGAAAAGCTGTGAAATGAGTTGAAAATAAAGAGAAGGGAGGGCCAGAAAAGTAATGTTTGGGAAATATTTGGTGAAGTGGTAAATGAGGATTTATAAACTGGGTGGTTCGAGCCCTGAATGCTGAGTGGCTGACAGCTGTGGTATATCAGACGAAACATTTATTTTTACTGTTCTAATTACATTGGTAACCAGTTTATAATAGCAATAAGGCACCTCCTGGGGTTTGTGGTATATGGACAATATACAACAGCTAATGGCTGTATCCAGGCACTCCGCGTTGCGTCATACATAAGAACAGCCCTTAGCCGTGGTATATTGTTTTGAGCCCCACCTTTCTAGCAAACATTTTTAAAAAGCCTGTTTTGCATGTTAGTTTGGCATTAATACGTGTCACATATCAGTTTGCAAACAATGTAAAAAAAAAAAACGACTTGGTCTCTTTTTTGGTTTCTTGACTAAGGCATCTCCAAAATGCATGTGTTTCAGCCTAGGTCAGTGCTTTCTGTGGTGGTGGGGCAGCCAGCGGAAAATACGGAGCGTAGGGGTTAGTAATGTTCTCTAGTTGCGCCGTCATAGTGATCTGTCACTCATGGGGACATTACGTCACCGCCAAATCAAAGGGTAGAGCTCGACAATTCAAGCCCCTTGGGTGCTGCCATAGAGTTACATCAGAAGTGCCCATCCAAAAGGCTCAAGGTCATTTGCCACCGATAAAATGACGTCAAATCACATATCTACAGCAGATTTGATTGGACTGATCATGTCAACATCATACTTTCAAAATCTTAGCTAGTGTACTGGCAAATCCCTTTTAATCCTTGTCATATGAAGATAAATAATAGATAACGTATCGGTGCTCATCGGCCATTAGACATAAACATTACACAACAAGTTAGAAATCGCAAATTGAACAATGAGTGGTTTGGAAGGAATCAGTGACTAACTGCAAGCATTGCAAAGCAATCACTAGCCTGCTATTCAGTGGAGTGGGTGTGTGGTCCCAAGTCTGGGTTTAAGGGTCTCTTTTCCAAGCTTAAAAGGATAAACATTCAACATTGTGAACTCGGAACAAAACGAGCTCCGACTGGGAAAATACGTTTTGAACGGTCATCCAACTCGGAATTGCAAGTCGGGAACTCGGGCCTCTTTCTAGAGCTCCAACCTGAAGACCACTGACGTCATCATGATTTGACCAGTTGTCTTGAAAGCACCATAAATCCAGAGAATGTCAGACTTTGATGGCAAAGTTTGATGACAAAATATGCCCAAGAAGGACTGCCACGCCACCTTCCTGTTCAAGTGAGCACAGCACACCAAGGTGAGTCCAAAAATGTATTGTATGCTGCTGCATAAATTATGCAATATGCCAGGGAGATATGTATACTGTAGCTAAGAAAGTAATCCTAAGTGTATGTTGTGTAGTAAACTGTTAGTGGCCCATGTGCCTCACCCCAATAATTTGGTCCTGTTTCCCCTCCTAATTTCGCCTACTGTTCTGACTTGGTGGTGCACATGTAGCCTATAGCCTATTTTAGGTAAATGTAATCATCGAATATTGTAAGAGCTTTCATTGTCTGCTTATATGCCCCCTTTATTTGTCCTACAGTTCTGACTTGGTGTACAGGGAGAATACTGTAAGAACGGCCCATGTTCTGAATTCTGTTGCTGTACATTTCAAAAGTGCTGAACAAATAGTTATATTTACTACGTCCTAGCTCGCTCATGAATGTCTTAATCGAAATTACGTATTGCCTCATATCCGCTCATCGTCCCCTTATGCCATAGTTTGTACATCTCAATTGTCAGTAGAAACCTCATTTGTTTAAGCAAGTCAGCCATATCAGCTATGTTTTTTTAAAGGCAGTAAATGAGGCTGAATGAACTGTTTCGCTGCCAGACAAGGCTCCGCTGATAGCCAGGTGTAGCAGTGGTAAGGATTGACTCCATGGTGCTGAAAAGAAAGCTCTGCTGTTGGGACAGCTTTATGTAGGCCCTAACAGTGTCTGGGCACCGTTTGTCACCGTTATAGTGAAATTAATGTATTGTTTAGTGTTGTGTTGTGTAGTGGGTTTGCTGGCATGCATCTAAAAAAAAAAATGTTTTGTTTGCCCTACCAAGATTTACATGCTAAAATCGCCGCTGCATTTATTACATTATTCTGGTGAGCAAGGGTTTGTTTGTTTGCATGTATCTAATTATAGACAAGTTGACTAACAAATAGCCTACCAAAATGTTGGAAATTATAAGCAGAAACATATCTAAATCAGGCAGGGGTAGATATTCAGGTCCCGCTGGGCCGTAGGAAAGTCAAGTCCTTGATCCGGGCAAAAGGGCTCGATCTTTGGCAAAGGGAGTGGGATGCTAGTAGTAAGGGCAGGCAATTTTATGCGTGCCGATATCGGTCAGTAAAGGAAGAGGTGAGGAGCATGGGATGTAGGCGAGAGGAAGTTGTGTGGAGTAGACTACGGTTTGGGCATACAGGTTTGAATGCCACGTTGTGGATGATAATGGGGAGGCATGAAACAGGTCTGTGTGATGAGTGTTTAGTGGAGCCCTTACGAAAAAAGAGTGCAGTATTCTGCAAATACTGCATCCAAAATAAGACAGTTTTTTTTACTGCATTAAATTTGCAGTGTAACTGCAGTTAGAGTGCAGTATAACTGTAGTTCAACTGCACTACATTGCAGTTATTCTGCAATTACTGTGTCCAAATTACCACAGTCGACTGCAGTTTCTGCACTTTTACTGTAAGGGAGAAAACAGTGGAGCATGTGTTGATATTTTGTGAATTGTATGACGTAGATGGGGAGACATTGTGTGAAAGGGTTGAGGCTGGTTGGGGTTTGGGTGGTGTATTGGGGGGAGGGAAGTGGTGTCTAGGGCTCTATTTAACTTTTTTAGAGGAACAGGACTACTGAAGATAATTTAATGTACTTAGGCTGTGACTGCCCTCACACTCCAATAAAAGTAGGTGATGGTGTATGCACCTTGAAAGTTGGATGCGATCAGCCAACCCAATCCAGAAGAAGAAGAAGAAGAAGAAGAAGACCCCTAGAGTCAAATATATTTATAACTATATTGTGTGGCTCCATCTAGTGGAATCTATATTTCTAGGAACCATTGTTTTGAAGAATTTGTTACAGGAGTGAATATTTTACACCGCACCCGCATCCGGCTCAACAACCTTCCAACCAACATGGCAAGCAGAAAAGGTTCACAGCAAAGCCGGGGAGATGGTGATAAATACTCGGTGTTGTTGCCCACTTACAATGAACGAGATAATCTACCGCTTATTGTGTGGCTATTGGTAAAATACTTCGGTGAAAGGTAGATCATTTCAAGTTATGTAGCACAGAGTGTGTGACAAGATGTCACTGATGAGCTGTCACTAAAATCAGAGGAGGGGATAGGGGATAGCCAATGGCTTACTTTTGCAGTCTGTTGCTGGGATTTCCTGCTGCTCATTGATAATTTCAGCTAATGACATACTCCCTGTTTTTTTTGTGTGTAGAATATGACTTATATAAATACCTTCATGAACTTATTACAGCTGTCTTACCTCTGCAGTCTTCATAACAACAACATGAAGTTGTGGGTGGGCCAAGCAATGACGTAAACATGCAACATTGTACTCCGTAGACAACAAAGACTGCAATAACATTTTACAGATTGTACCTTTTAAAGTAGTATAGCTTCTAACTAACTACATTTGAACAGATATTGCAAATTTGAAAGACATATTGATTGAAATTCAAGCTATAACTGGAACTATGATAGAGCTCATTATAAAGTCCCTGTTTTCATCAAATGTCAGATTAGCATTTGTTGTGTGATGGTTAAAACGTCTTTTTACTTATTTACAGTGGATACGACTACGAGATTATTGTCATTGATGATGGAAGTCCAGATGGGACACTTGAGGTGGCAGAACAACTACAGAAGATATACGGAGAGGACAAGATAGTAAGTGAATTTAGTAGATTAGTTGTTCATTTTTTAATATATACTTTTACATTCACATACCTGCTGGCATACCAATACACTCATTCACTCTGCTCTTTGTGGTTATTTTTCAGCTCCTTCGACCAAGAGCAAAGAAACTAGGGTTAGGTAAGTGTCACATACTCATTCATCAGAGTGAACACAGTGTTATAGAACACTATCTCAGGTACATATGTCTGGTAATGTCCTTTAATTCTGCAAACAGGAACTGCCTACATCCATGGCATTAAACATGCCAAAGGGAACTATGTCTTCATAATGGATGCAGACCTCTCCCATCATGTGAGTGGATCTCCTGTATATCTGGACAATACAGTATCAGAGAAGCAGGTTGGGATAGTGGCACCGGACCCTGTACATTCAATAATTAAAATGTAAAAAGGGTCCAAAAACATACTATTTTCAGGAGGTTACTTGTGGTGTTACAATACTTGCTTGGTTGGATATTTGTATGAAAATGCTTCATAGCCAGGATTATGTTTTATGAAATCCTTTGAATGCATGCATGCATCCTAAAATACATTTTTCTCTTTACTTGCAGCCTAAATTTATTCCAGAATTCATAGGGTAAGTCATCTATTTTAATTCATCCAAAAATGTGAATGTGTATCTTTTTCTGAAAAGTTTTGAATATAGAATTCAGAATATAGTATGTCTGCTAGCAACCTACATCTCTACCATATGATTGTCTGTTGCCAAGTATCTGATGTGAATGTGTTTGTCTCCAAGGAAACAGAGAGAAGGCGGGTATGACCTGGTGTCAGGCACCCGATACAGAGGAGATGGGGGCGTATACGGCTGGGACCTGCGCAGGAAACTCATCAGGTGACAGCAGTGACACAATCTCCCTTCTGCTACATCTAGGTTGTTGGCTATCATTTATTCTGCTTGTGCTCATACACAAGGCAAGCATTAAACTCTCATCTGTGTGTGTCCCTACCTCTCTAACAGTCGGGGAGCTAACTATGTCACACAGGTGCTGCTGAGACCTGGGGCATCAGACTTGACAGGCAGCTTCAGGTAAGTGGCTAAATGTAAATAGGTGTGAAGAACAGCAGGCACAGTAATCACACTCACTTACATACCGCTACATCATCCTTTATCAGTGTACCAGTGTGTTATCTCACTGTTGTTTTTAATGCATGGTGATCTCAGGCTCTACAAGAAGGAGGTACTGGAGAGTCTGGTGGAGAGGTGTGTGTCCAAAGGCTACGTCTTTCAGATGGAGATGATTGTCCGTGCTAGACAGCTGAACTACACCATTGGAGAGGTGAGGCCTTTTAACCCTTTGTGTGTTTTTTTGTGTTGTGGGTTTTGTGTAATTTTGTTTCATTTCTTAATCATGAGATGTTTTATTTGTTTTTACCATCGAGGACCACTTTTGGACCAAGTATTTTAATTAATACTTTTAAGTGCTATCCTCTGGGAATACATTGTACGTCTGTTGTATATGTTTTTACCCAAATAAATTCAATTTAATAACATTTTAGACGTTCTGTTTATCATGTCAATAGGTTGTATGTAGCTAAGTTAAAGGGATAGTTAGGGATTTTGGCAATGAGGCCTTTTATCTACTTCCCCATAGCCAGATTAACTTGTGGATACCATTTTTATGTCTCTGTGTGCAGTTTGAAGGAAGTTGCTATCTAGTGTACAATTGATAACTAGCGTTAGCGCATTGACTGGAAGTGTATGGGAACACTACCTCTACCTTTCTTCATACTGGACGCAGATACATACAAATGGTATCCAGGAGTTCATCTGACTCTTCATTGCCAAAATCCAATCTATCCCTTTAAACTATATTTTTCCTTCTTCCAAACAGGTTCCAATTTCGTTTGTGGATCGTGTTTATGGGGAGTCTAAACTGGGAGGAAATGAAATAGTGTCCTTCCTGAAAGGACTGCTTACTCTCTTCGCGACAACATGATTTATGATGCTCTAGGTTTGGACTCAGCACAGCTTTTTAGTTTTTCAGTCATGGCCTTTAGTGCAGTAATTAACCTACATCAAAATCAGTGGCGTAGGACGCACCCCCACAGCCCACGCGAGGTGGGGGGCAAGCTTTAGAGGTTGGGGAACCTCTAAAACTCAGGGGCCCCCCAGATAGCATATGAACACTTCATGAGTCATGACAAAATGTTTAGAATGACAGGAAATTAGCTTTAAAACTGCAACATTTTCTTTCAACCTAACGGCAAAATGTGTAGAATAGCATGAGATTAGCTATAAAACAGCACATTTTTCTCTCTGCCCCATGGCAATGTGTGTAGAATTGCAGGAAATGTGCTTTAAAACTGCAACATTTTCTCTCAAGGGGGGGTCCTTGATCGGACCTTGCGCTGGGACCTCGTGAAACTGCACTATGTCACTGATAAAAATGAGCTTAGGGAAAATGGACAGACTACGCTCTTTTTATGAGTAGTTGATTATTGACAAATCAAAGCACAAAGTATACATTAAAATAATCAATATTCACTGCCTCTGCTTCAGCTGGATCTCCAAACAGACATAGAGATGTTGAAGCATCAGTCCAAGTGAAAACAGTCACAAGCTTCTTCCTATATATTATTGTAGATTGATTAACTGCTTTTTGTTACTTACTTATGCATGTTGGTGGGTTTATATTCACACAAAACTGATAGATCTGTGATTGATGTAAAAAATAAATAGTTTACTTTATTTCGTAATATTTTGAATTGTCACTCTATTTGTTCATGTATGACCTGTGAAATTGTGAAAATTGGAGCATGGCTGTTTTTCCTATATTGGAATCTATGTAAACTGTAAAATATGTTAACCTGGGCAGTACAAATAAAGAACAACCCTTGAATGAGTAGGTGTGTCCAAACTTTTGACTGGTAGTGTATATATACATACACTACTGGTCAAAAGTTTTAGAACACCTACTGATTCAAGGGTTTTTCTTTATTTTTACTATTTTCTACATTGTAGAATAGTGAAGACCTCAAAAAAACTATGAAATAACACATATGGAATCATGTAGTAACCAAAAACGTGTTAAACAAATCAAAAATATATTTTATACTTGAGATTCTTCAAAGTAGCCACCCTTTGCCTTGATGACAGCTTTGCACACTCTTGGCATTCTCTCAACCAGCTTCATGAGGTAGTCACCTGGAATGCATTTCAATTGACAGGTGTGCCTTGTTAATTTGTGGAATTTCTTTCCTTCTTAATGCGTTTGAGCCGATCAGTTGTGTTGTGACAAGGTAGGGGTGGTATACAGAAGATAGCCCTATTTGGTAAAAGACCATGTCCATATTATGGCAAGAACAGCTCAAATAAGCAAAGAGAAATTACAGTCCATCATTACTTTAAGACATGAAGGTCAGTCAATACAGAACATTTCAAGAACTTTGAAAGTTTCTTCAAGTGCAGTTGCAAAAACCATCAAGAGCTATGATGAAACTGGCTCTCATGAGGACCGCCACAGGAAAGGAAGACCCAGAGTTACCTCTGCTGCAGAGGATAAGTTCATTAGAGTTAACTGCACCTCAGATTGCAGCCCAAATAAATGCTTCACAGAGTTCAAGTACAGTGAGGGAAAAAAGTATTTGATCCCCTGCTGATTTTGTACGTTTGTCCACTGACAAAGACATGATCAGTCTATAATTTTAATGGTAGGTTTATTTGAACAGTGAGTGACAGAATAACAACAACAAAATCCAGAAAAACGCATGTCAAAAATGTTATACATTTTTTTGCATTTTAATGAGGGAAATAAGTATTTGACCCCTCTGCAAAACATGACTTAGTACTTGGTGGCAAAACCCTTGTTGGCAATCGCAGAGGTCAGACGTTTCTTGTAGTTGGCCACCAGGTTTGCACACATCTCAGGAGGGATTTTGTCCCACTCCTCTTTGCAGATGTTCTCCAAGTTATTAAGGTTTCGAGGCTGACGTTTGGCAACTCGAACCTTCAGCTCCCTCCACAGATTTTCTATGGGATTAAGGTCTGGAGACTGGCTAGGCCACTCCAGGACCTTAATGTGCTTCTTCTTGAGCCACTCCTTTGTTGCCTTGGCTGTGTGTTTAGGTCATTGTCATGCTGGAATACCCATCCACAACAACATTTTCAATGCCCTGGCTGAGGGAAGGAGGTTCTCACCCAAGCTTTGACGGTACATGGCCCCGTCCATCGTCCCTTTGATGCGGTGAAGTTGTCCAGTCCCCTTATCTGAAAAACACCCCCAAAGCATAATGTTTCCACCTCCATGTTTGACGGTGGGGATGCTGATCTTGGGGTCATAGGCAGCATTCCTCCTCCTCCAAACACGGTGAGTTGAGTTGATGCCAAAGAGCTCGATTTTGGTCTCATCTGACCACAACACTTTCACCCAGTTCTCCTCTGAATAATTCAGATGTTCATTGGCAAACTTCAGACGGGCCTGTATATGTGCTTTCTTGAGCAGGGGGACCTTGCGGGCGCTGCAGGATTTCAGTCCTTCACGGCATAGTGTGTTACCAATTGTTTTCTTGGTGACTATGGTCCCAGCTGCCTTGAGATCATTGACAAGATCCTCCCGTGTATTTCTGGGCTCATTCCTCACCGTTCTCATGATCATTGCAACTCCACGAGGTGAGATCTTGCATGGAGCCCAGGCCAAGGGAGATTGACAGTTATTTTGTGTTTATTCCATTTGCGAATAATCGCACCAACTGTTGTCACCTTCTCACCAAGCTGCTTGGCGATGGTCTTGTAGCCCATTCCAGCCTTGTGTAGGTCTACAATCTTGTCCCTGACATCCTTGGAGAGCTCTTTGGTCTTGGCCATGGTGGAGAGTTTGGAATCTGATTGATTTATTGCTTCTGTGGACAGGTGTCTTTTATACAGGTAACAAGCTGAGATTAGGAGCACTCCCTTTAAGAGTGTGCTCCTAATCTCAGCTCGTTACCTGTATAAAAGACACCTGGGAGCCAGAAATCTTTCTGATTGAGAGGGGATCAAATACTTATTTCCCTCATTAAAATGCAAATCAATTTATAACATTTTTTACATGCGTTTTTCTGGATTTTTTTGTTGTTATTCTGTCTCTCACTGTTCAAATAAACCTACCATTAAAATTATAGACTGATCATTTCTTTGTCAGTGGACAAACGTACAAATTCAGCAGGGGATCAAATACTTTTTTCCCTCACTGTACTTGAACTCTGTGAAGCATTTATTTGGGCTCCAATCTGAGGTGCAGTTAACTCTAATGAATCAGGCCTTCATGCTCGAATTGCTGCAAAGAAACCACTACTAAAGGACACCAATAAGAAGAAGAGACTTGCTTGGGCCAAGAAACACGAGCAATGGACATTAGACCGGTGGAAATCTGTCCTTTAGTCTGATGAGTCCAAATTTGAAATTTTTGGTTCCAACCGCCGTGTCTTTGTGAGACGCAGAGAAGGTGAATGGATGATCTCTGCATGTGTGGGGGTGCTTTGCTGGTGACACTGTCTGTGATTTATTTAGAATTCAAGGCACACCTAACCAGCATGGCTACCACAGCATTCTGCAGCGATACACCATCCCATCTGGTTTGCGCTTAGTGGGACTATCATTTGTTTTTCAACAGGACAATGAACCAAAACACACCTCCAGGCTGTGTAAGGGCTATTTGACCAAGAAGGAGAGTGATGGTGCTGCATTAGATGACCTGGCCTCCACAATCCCCCGACCTCAACCCAATTGAGATGGTTTGGGATGAGTTGGACCGCAGAGTGAAGGAAAAGCAGCCAACAAGTGCTCAGCGTATGTGGGAACTCCTTCAAGACTGTTGGAAAAGCATTCCTCAGGAAGCTGGTTGAGAGAATGCCAAGAGTGTGCAAAGCTGTCATCAAGGCAAAAGGTAGCTACTTAGAAAAATCTAAAATATATTTTTGGTTACTGCATGATTCCATATGTGATATTTCATAGTTTTGATGTCTTCACTATTATTCTACATTGTAGAAAATAGTAAAAATAAAGAAAAACCCTTGAATGAGTAGGTGTGTCCAAACGTTTGACTGGTACTGTATGTAAATGTGTATATATGTAAATGTGTTCAAATAAAGGTAAAATAAAAAATATATATATTTGGCCTTGTGTTTTAGGTTATTGTCCTGCTGAAAGGTGAATTTGTATCCCAGTGTCTGTTGGAAAGCAAACTGAACCAGGTTTTCCTCTAGGATTTTGCCTGTGCTTAGCTACATTCTGTTTTATGTGAGGGGTACATAGATCAAAAAAACTCCCTAGTCCTTGCCGATGACAAGCATAGCTGTAACATGATGCAGCCACCACCATGCTTAAAAATATGAAGGGTGGTACCAAGTGATGTTTTGTGTTGGATTTGCCCCAAATATAAAGCTTTGTATTCAGGAATTTCATTTTTTTTTTGCTGTTTTACTTTAGTGCCTTATTGCAAACAGGATGCATGTTTTACAAATTCATTAAAAATTAAAAGATGAACTGTCTTGAGTCAATAAGTATTCAACCCCTTTGTTATGGCAAGCCTAAATAAGTTTGGGAGTAAGAATTTGTTAAACAAGTCACAAGTCGCATGGACTCACTCTTTGTGCAATAATAGTGTTTAACATTATTTTTGAATGACTACCTCATCTCTGTACCCCACATATACAATTAGTTGTAAGGTCCCTCAGTTGAGCATTGAATTTCAAACACAGATTCAACCACAAAGACCAGGGAGGTTTTCCAATGCCTCGCAAAGAAGAGTACCTATTTGTAGATGGGTACAAATAAAGAAAAGCAGACATTGAATATCCCTTTGAGCATGGTGAAGTTATTAACAACACTTTGGATGGTGTATAAATACACTGAGTCACTACGAAGATACAGGCAATCTTCCTAACTCAGTTGCCGGAGAGGAAGGAAACCGCTCAGGGATTTAAAACAGTTACAAAGTTTAATGGCTGTGGTAGGAAAATAAACTGAGGATGGATCAACAACGTTGTAGTTACTTCACAATACTAGCCTAATTGACAGAGTGAAAAGAAGGAAGCCTGTACAGAATAAAAAATATTCCAAAACATGCATGCTGTTTGCAATAAGGCACT